TCCGATCCTAAAGCGGGATACTTTAAAAGAATTGTGGATGGATTCTCAGTTAATCTGCATCAATACCTTCAAACTATTTTTGATAAAATTTTTTTTGATTTTTTTTCTGATGGCACCCCTTTCTCGAATGGGGAAAATGATGGGAGCAGCATATACTGCACACCACGATTTCCATATCTTTGCCAATTTTCATCCGATCCTGAAGCGGGATACTTTAAAAGAATTGTGGATGGATTCTCAGTTAATCTGCATCAAAACCTTCAAAACTATTTTTGATAACATTTTTTTGATTATTTTTCTGATGGAACCCCTTTCTCGAATGGGGAAAATGATGGGAGCAGCCTATATGGCACATCACGACTTCCATATCTTTGCCAATTTTCATCCGATCCTGAAGCGGGATACTTTAAAAGAATTGTGGATGGATTCTTAGTTAATCTGCATCAAAACCTTCAAAACTATTTTTGATAACATTTTTTTGATTATTTTTCTGATGGAACCCCTTTCTCGAATGGGGAAAATGATGGGAGCAGCCTATATGGCACACCACGACTTCCATATCTTTGCCAATTTTCATCCGATCCTGAAGCGGGATACTTTAAAAGAATGGTGGATGGATTCTCAGTTAATCTGCATCAATACCTTCAAACTATTTTTGATACAATTTTTTTTGATTATTTTTCTGATGGAACCCCTTTCTCGAATGGGGAAAATGATGGGAGCAGCATATACTGCACACCACGATTTCCATATCTTTGCCAATTTTCATCTGATCCTGAAGCGGGATACTTTAAAAGAATTGTGGATGGATTCTCAGTTAATCTGCATCAAAACCTTCAAAACTATTTTTGATAAAATTTTTTGAATATGTTTCTGATGGAACCCCTTTCTCGATGGAAGCAGCGTATATGGTACACCACCATATCCATATCTTTGCTTATTTTTATCCGATTCTGAAGCGGAATACTTTAAAAGCATCGTGGATAGATTCTCTGTAAATCTGCATCAAAACCTTAAAACCTCTTTTAAATAAATTTTTTGACTATTTTTGTGAAGGAACCCCTTTCTCTAATGGGGAAAATGATGGAAGCAGCCTATATGGCACACCACGACTTCCATATCTTTGCCAATTTTTATCCGATCCTGAAGCGGGATATGAAGCGGAATATGATGAAGCGGAATTCTTTAAAAGAATTGTGGATGGATTCTCAGTTAATCTGCATCAAAACCTTCAAAACTATTTTTGATAAATTTTTTTTGATTATTTTTGTGATGGAACCCCTTTCTCGAATGGGGAAAATGATGGGAGCAGCATATACTGCACACCACGATTTCCATATCTTTGCCAATTTTCATCTGATCCTGAAGCGGGATACTTTAAAAGAATTGTGGATGGATTCTCAGTTAATCTGCATCAAAACCTTCAAAACTATTTTTGATAAAATTTTTTGAATATGTTTCTGATGGAACCCCTTTCTCGATGGAAGCAGCGTATATGGTACACCACCATATCCATATCTTTGCCTATTTTTATCCGATTCTGAAGCGGAATACTTTAAAAGAATCGTGGATAGATTCTCTGTAAATCTGCATCAAAACCTTAAAACCTATTTTAAATAAATTTTTTGACTATTTTTGTGAAGGAACCCCTTTCTCTAATGGGGAAAATGATGGAAGCAGCCTATATGGCACACCACGACTTCCATATCTTTGCCAATTTTCATCCGATCCTAAAGCGGGATACTTTAAAAGAATGGTGGATGGATTCTCAGTTAATCTGCATCAATACCTTCAAACTATTTTTGATAAAATTTTTTTTGATTATTTTTCTGATGGAACCCCTTTCTCGAATGGGGAAAATGATGGGAGCAGCATATACTGCACACCACGATTTCCATATCTTTGCCAATTTTCATCTGATCCTGAAGCGGGATACTTTAAAAGAATTGTGGATGGATTCTCAGTTAATCTGCATCAAAACCTTCAAAACTATTTTTGATAAAATTTTTTGAATATGTTTCTGATGGAACCCCTTTCTCGATGGAAGCAGCGTATATGGTACACCACCATATCCATATCTTTGCTTATTTTTATCCGATTCTGAAGCGGAATACTTTAAAAGCATCGTGGATAGATTCTCTGTAAATCTGCATCAAAACCTTAAAACCTCTTTTAAATAAATTTTTTGACTATTTTTGTGAAGGAACCCCTTTCTCTAATGGGGAAAATGATGGAAGCAGCCTATATGGCACACCACGACTTCCATATCTTTGCCAATTTTCATCCGATCCTAAAGCGGGATACTTTAAAAGAATGGTGGATGGATTCTCAGTTAATCTGCATCAATACCTTCAAACTATTTTTGATAAAATTTTTTTTGATTATTTTTCTGATGGAACCCCTTTCTCGAATGGGGAAAATGATGGGAGCAGCATATACTGCACACCACGATTTCCATATCTTTGCCAATTTTCATCTGATCCTGAAGCGGGATACTTTAAAAGAATTGTGGATGGATTCTCAGTTAATCTGCATCAAAACCTTCAAAACTATTTTTGATAAAATTTTTTGAATATGTTTCTGATGGAACCCCTTTCTCGATGGAAGCAGCGTATATGGTACACCACCATATCCATATCTTTGCTTATTTTTATCCGATTCTGAAGCGGAATACTTTAAAAGCATCGTGGATAGATTCTCTGTAAATCTGCATCAAAACCTTAAAACCTCTTTTAAATAAATTTTTTGACTATTTTTGTGAAGGAACCCCTTTCTCTAATGGGGAAAATGATGGAAGCAGCCTATATGGCACACCACGACTTCCATATCTTTGCCAATTTTCATCCGATCCTGAAGCGGGATACTTTAAAAGAATTGTGGATGGATTCTCAGTTAATCTGCATCAATACCTTCAAACTATTTTTGATAAAATTTTTTTTGATTTTTTTTCTGATGGCACCCCTTTCTCGAATGGGGAAAATGATGGGAGCAGCATATACTGCACACCACGATTTCCATATCTTTGCCAATTTTCATCCGATCCTGAAGCGGAATACATTAAAAGATTTGTGGATGGATTCTCAGTTAATCTGCATCAAAACCTTCAAAACTATTTTTGTTAAATTTTTTGATTATGTTTCTGATGGAACCCCTTTCTCGATTTGAGAAAATGATGGGAGCAGCCTATATGGCACACCACGACTTCCATATCTTTGCCAATTTTTATCCGATCCTGAAGCGGAATACATTAAAGATTTGTGGATGGATTCTCAGTTAATCTGCATCAAAACCTTCAAAACTATTTTTGATAAAATTTTTTGATTATGTTTCTGATGGAACCCCTTTTTCGATTTGAGAAAATGATGGAAGCAGCCTATATGGCACATCACGACTTCCATATCTTTGCCATCTTTCATCCGATCCTGAAGCGGAATACTTTAAAACAATTGTGGTTAGATTCGCAATGAATCTGCATCAAAACCTTCAAACGTATTTTTGATAAACATTTTTTGGTTACTTTTCTGATGGAATCCCTTAAACTATATCCTATAGCTGCCATATAACTGATTTATCGGAAATTCCGTTACCAGGATATATAATCTTACGAAGATTATCATAAAAACAGAATTCTTCTAGCATTTTTAAAGGAAAACATGTTTGTTTATATAACTTTAAAATAAAAATGTAAACACCCATATTTTTATTGCCTACTTTTAAGGGCACCAAAGAGTCTTATACTAATGAGGAGTACAATTTTACGGTTTATTTGCATATAATATCATTGAAGAATCAACTTTATTTTGGTAGCTATTCAATGAAAATTTAAAAAAATAATTAATTAAAAAATAGCGCCCTCCTCCTCGATTCTCATAGGATGCACTTAAGCAGGCCTGAAAAATCGGGAAATTCATTATTTATTTTTGTGTAAATGTTGGTGTTTATTTTTCTGGACTTTTATTGGTTTGTTTTTGTTGTAGTTTTGGTTGTTGTAGTAGTTTTTGATGTTGTTGTAGTTTTTGTAATTTTTTTTTAGTTTTTTTTTATATTATTTTTTTTTTTATTGTAATATTTAGCTTGTATATCCGATTATATCTTAAATCTGTCATTTATCTAACTGCTTGGGCATACAAGACTTTCCAATAAGGATCGGCCAATTTGCAATATAAAGCCCTGCCGATTACATACCCTATAACATAAACTGCCACTTAACTGCAAGGGTATATCAACTTCGGCTCTGCCCAAAGATAGCTTTCCTTTCTTTTTTGATTATTTTTCTGATGAAACCCCTTTCTCGAATGGGGGAAATGATGGGAGCAGCCTATATGGTACACCACGATATCAATATCTTATATTGTAGATTAATTTTTCGTTAAACTCCACCAATACCCTTAAACCTATTTTTGATTCAGTTTTTTGTCCATTTTTCTAATAACCCCTTTCAAAATTTGTTGTAAAACATTACATCATTTTAATGTGGGTTGACATTTTGTCTTGATTTTTTTAATATTTCTACAAGATGTATTTCTACAAAGTATTCTCCGATGTTAGTTATTTATTTTTATCGCAATCATGTTTTAACTTTTTCATTTATCAGTCTTGTTAAAGTGTTGAAAAATGAAAATTTCACTTTTAATAATACTACAATTTATTTTGACGAAACCAAAAAAATGCTTTTAGTTTAAACTTAGTTTTTAATGCTCTTAATTAAAACAAATACCAATTTCCGATTGTTTGGCATGTTTGAATTTATTTAATTCAAATACCAAAACTAGCTTGCAGCTATTATGGACTTTCAAACTCAATTTAGTTAGATAGAGTGTCCAATTTGTAAGACTCGGTCAATTTCTGAGATTGATGAGAAATATTTTTCATTTCGCTTAACAGTTAAGACCGCTAAACGCCGACGCCATAAAAGTCTGGTTTATTTAACGAAGCAAGAAAATTTAAAAAGTGTGTGGTTCGATATAATTACTTGCACTATTAAAATTAAAAAATTAACATTTATTTTCGTTTTGATTTTATTTATTATCGGTACAATCATTTCTATACTTCAGTATCCCGACTTGTTAGACCAGGATCGTTAGAAAATATGAGCTTCTTTTGTGACGTGTTCATGTATGGTCTATTTATCCATTCAGTATCAGCCGCCTTTATGTTTTCAAGTGTTCCCAATTTAATTTGATACAACTTCAAGACAAATCTTGGGCCAACTTCGCTAAGCTCCAATTCTTTATTCGTATATTTGTATTGATGATGTCGAAAGATAATCGAATCGTTGTGGTTTAGGAAAGACATGACTCTTTGGGAGTTTTCCTTCGGGACAGGGAACAAGTGTTTTAGTATCTTGACAGTTCGCAATCCAATGGGCGTTTTGAAGTTGTTAAAAATTAAGTGCGGTTTCTGTTCACTCATGTGTCCAATATCGGGAATATCATGACGCATTATAACATCTGATATGTTAAAGAACGCAGTTGGACCGTAAGGAAGATGGCAAACCACAAGGCTGTCCGGAACGCCACGATGCTCGTGCACAATTAGGAAATCGGTTACATTATTTGCACGACATGCATGCATTAGCGTAGGCAACTGGTAGTTTCCTCTGTTCATTTGCTGAGCATTGGGGAATATCAAACGCAGCTCCTTCATGAACAACTTTAATCTGGACGAAGGGTTGTGCGAGGTGGTTAACATAATTTTTGGATCTTCTGCTCCAGCGTAATGGTACTCATCATGGACTGTGCGGTCGTCGACACCTTAAAAAGAAATATGATATATTTATATTAAAAAATGTAGATAAAAACTGAGTATTTTTAGAGAAAGGTTTAAAACGTATATTGTTATTAAGACAATAGATTGATTTGTCCTTATTTCTATTTCGCTGTATAGAAACCAATCTGGATTGTTTGATAGCGTGGCCTGAACGTGTGCATGCCGAGGAAATTACTATTTACGACTTGTTAGTTTCTCAGTCTGCACTTGCTAATTAGGTGTCACGAACACGTCGTTTTGTTTTCTGCCCTGTTGCTAAATATAGTCTGTTACTAGGTTTAGTACTTCTATGTTTCCGGTTATACTTTATTTTTTTATTTTTCAATATATAAATACCATCATCAATATATTTCAGCGAGTTGTAAACTGTCATGCTCTTTTTCACATTTTTGGAACCGATGGACTTGTTTTCGGCCAAGCTTTGGACCACGGTTTCCTGGATCTTTTGCTTTGCCTTTAGACGCTCGGTCAGAGCCTTGTTGTATAAATATTCCCTCCGTTGACGGGCCTGTTTTCGCAGCATTTTTATTTATTATTATTTGTTATTATTTCTCGCACGTGTATAGATAGGGATGTGCTATTCAACATGCAGACCGGTAGGGGTGGACTATCGCTACATATCAGGGAAACGCATGGAAACGGAACACTCAAAATTGATCCATTGACCCATCTCGAAGAATTCTGTGTTACTATCTTGACACATGTGAAAACAAATGTTTATTTATTAAATTTTATGCGCCTAATATGAGTACTTACAACCGGTTAATACCATGCCTGTGAATTGGTTGGGCGGTGTTTTATGCCCTTAACAAGCACATAATCAAGGTAGATTATGGCACCGTCCATTTCGGCCCTTGGAAACAAAAACAAACTACGGCTTAAAAATGCTTCTGCCAAAACCGAAAATGGTAACTAAAACCTGGCTTAAACTGTGCTGAAATTATTATTGAGACTTTTTCCTATTTCAGCACCACCTTCATATGTGTCTGCTGTGCTTAATTGCATTAGCAATATTATCCTATTTCGTTCATCAACGACCTTCGTGGGTATCCGAATTCAAGGAGGCTACCCCGCAGGGTTTTAACCAAGTGTACGTAGCTAGGCTAGATAGATATTGCTCGTTGCCATAGTTGTTTGGTTCAAAACAGAGACGAAGAATATTAATACTTTTAATACAATAATTCTATTTTACAGACAATCATGGAAAACCCCTTTATATATAGTGGTGGTTTGCTGTGGGCAAAGGGTACAGGAGACCCTTGTTATGATCAAATCGGCTATTCTATTTAACTACGACCAGGAGTATCTTAAGTTTGTGATTTTTACTGAGGACGGAAAGGGCGAGGAGTTTAGAGAAAAGTTAACAGACTGGCGCGACATCAAACCATTTACATTTGATTTCGAGATCTTACCCTTAAAGTTCCCAACGAATAACGAAGTCGAATGGAAAAATCTCTTCAAGCCCTGTGCAGCTCAGCGTTTATTTTTACCGGTAGGCCTCGACTTTTCCAACCAATAATACACAAATTAATTTTAATTATCTTTTTCAAGTCCTTGCTAACGAAGGTGGATTCATTGTTGTATGTTGACACTGACATTCTGTTTCTGTCACCGATATCGGATATCTGGCATTATTTCAAAAAATTCAATGAGAGCCAAATCTCTGCCCTGACGCCGGAACACGAAAACGAAAACATCGGCTGGTACAACCGATTTGCCAGGCACCCGTTTTACGGCCGATTGGGAGTTAACTCTGGTGTCATGCTTATGAACCTCACTCGAATGAGAGAAATGAAATGGGAGCAACATATCTTGTCCATACATAAGGAGTACAAACTACGTATCATTTGGGGGGATCAGGACATAATTAATATTTTATTTTACTACCATCCTGACAAACTGTACATCATGCCGTGCGAATATAACTACCGTCCAGACCACTGCATGTATATGAGCATTTGCAACATGACACATGCCGGTGTAAAATTAATTCATGGAAATCGAGGATATTTCCATTCAGATAGGCAGCCGCTTTTTAAGTCCATTTACGAAGCTATGGAGAACTATCAATTGGGCTCTAATGCCAACACCCAGTTTTTAATGCCTCTACGTGAAGCACTGAATACAGAAACCGCCTCGACCTGCGGAAAAATATCGAATGAAGTTTTAAAGGGAGCAAAAAAAGTCTTAAGTAACAGGTACATGGATGTATAAAAGTATAATCCATTCAATATAATCATATATTATAGTAATATAAAATGGTACTTAAGAATTCATAGCTGTGAGCACTACATTTACACTCCATTTTAGTTTATTTTACCTATTATTGGCTCTCTGTTTTAAAAATAAAACTTGCATTTAAATAAAACATCAATTTTTATTTTCATTTGGAGTTTAACAAAGACACGTGGACTTAAACTAGGCAATAAATATTTGTGTGTATTTGCATACATCTTTGACTAAGAACACAGGCATGTATTTTCGAGATTAGACTTAATCCATGGGATGAACTTGCTGACGCGCGTGTAAACACCTGGATATCCTTCGCGGCCGCAACCTACTCCCCAGGATACAATTCCAACGATAAAATACTTAACTCCATTAGATAACAACAGCGGTCCTCCACTATCGCCCTGGCAAGAGTCCATTGCTGGCCTGCCCGCGCATAACATTGATGAGGTAATTCGAGTACTTTTGTATTTTTGATTTCGGCATTCGGTGATGGACATAATGGGAACCTTGACTTGGTTGACAATGGACGGCAGCTCTCCTCCTTCTGATGTTCTTCCCCAGCCCACTACTGTGCCAATGCGACCTAAAATTAAGTGGTTTTTAACGGTCATAAAACTTTAAAGAAAGTCTAACAAGTCTCTTATTTTTTATAAGAAAAACCTTATAGGTTTCATAATTTTCACAAAGTAGATGGTGAAAATTACCTGCTGGATCGTAGTTATAGCGTGGTAAGCAGATGGGCTTTATAATTTTGGAGAACGCAATAGGCTTTCTTAGTCTGAGCAGGGCTACGTCGTTGTTGTAGGTATCTGGGTCAAAGCTCTTGTGTTTAATCACAGATGTCACCGCTCGTTGGATAGCATGCGACTCTGAAGTGATTTCCTGGTCGTGATCACCGAAAATGATTCTTATTTTTGATCGTCTTAGTTTCTTAACACAATGGGCTGCGGTTAACACATAATCCTTTGTCAGCAACGATCCACCACAATGAAATTTTCCATCGTAAACTATTCTGGCCATCCATGGGTATTGGTTAACACCAGTAGGCTTTCCACCAACAATTCGAATTTCCTCATTGGAAAAGCCACAATCTGAAAGTGAAAATGGGTCATTAAACAGATCAGAAAATAAACATAGTCTTCAGTTATATTAGGGTGATTCTTTGAAATGATCTTTACTTACCGCAGTCGCAGTTTTTCAGGCTGGAGTTTTCTGGGTACTCAACGTCGTCGGCTTCGGTATCAAATCCAAAAGCATTTGATACGCCCGAACTTATACGGAAAATTGTATCAAAAAGAAATTTACTGGTTCGTTTATTTTGGCCCGTATGGATGGTGTTTATGGCGGCGGATTCATTGAAAGCTTTCGAATTTTCCAAGCACATTAGGCTGGAACAATTCATCATCAACATCCAACATAATAAATTATACTTTAAATTCATTTTCACGAATCAGATATCATTGTAACAACGAGTTCACTATGTTTTAAATTATATTTACAAAAACTAAAACATTTTTGGAAAATCTAAATTCAAAAATTGGAAAGCTAAAGTAAACAAATTTCTGTAAATACTGACTAAGAATAAATAAATCTGTGTAACTAATTAATGTAACATAAAATATGTACTAAGTTCGGACATAATGTAGCGTACAAATTTCTTAAGCTTGATAAAAAACGTGAGAGTGTCACTAGTGTGGCCACATATTCAAATGGAAAGTAAATCTTCTGCTTTCACTTTCACAATCATATGGATTTGATAGACGCTATCAATTTATAAAAAATAAAACTTGAAAATAGTAAAATTTTACGAAATTTTTTTAAAATGTAGTTTATAATATCATATTTTTTTATATATATTTTGTATATATATAATATTTCAATATATAAATTTTTTTTATTTATTAAGTTAAAACCTGTCTTAACATCAGCTGATAGCTTTGGCTTTGATCCATTAAAAAAAAAATCATATTTTTTTTTTTAGTTTGTAGATTTTTATTTACGTATTTAAATTTTTACTTCTCCAATTATACAAATCATCAACGCTACAATCTTCTTCGCTGGAACTCAACTCAGGATCTATTTCCTTTTTTATATTAATTTTCCGCTTTTTACCCAAAAGGATGGTTTTCTGATCATTTATCTTAATGAATCTCTTCCAATTATCTATTTGCTCGTCTATTTCTTTTAGCTGCCTTTTGAGGTTGATATCCTCCTGCTCGTCGGCAACGATGACACTAGATTCTGTTGCCGCCTTCTTAATCTCCTGCTGAAACCGTTGCCACTCCTCGTCCTGGATTCGAGTTGCTTCAGCCTTACTGGATTTATCCTCATCGAAAAACTTTTCAGGCAACCCTTCAGCAATAGATTCAGCCGCGCTGGCCTGTGGAGTCTTTTCGTTGCTTTTTTGAGGACTCTTATCCTGACTTATCGCAGGAGGCGGCTGATCCTGCTGTAAACTGGTTTTTAGTATAGAAGGGACCTTGAAAGATGGAGCTGAAGATTCCTTAGCAGCGGGGGTGATAGTGCTGGGAGCAGGAGTAGTTGGTTTTGTTGCCGATTTTTCGACCTTATTTTGCTTGGCTTGGTCTACATTGAGCTTGTGTTGCTTGGAGTTGATGTGTACCTTCCAGACCGTGGGCTTGATGGGAATCCTGCAAATAATACATGTCAGGATTCCTGACGAGTCATACGTATATCCTAAAGTTAAGAAAACCACATAGCAGATTGAGAAAAGATTAAAATCAAAGAAGCATCGACTAATGAATATTATATCCGTTCTTTTGCTAGGTAGCATCCATATAATAAGAATCAGAACTGGACGAACCAAAAAAAATTGAAGCGGACTAGCAATGGAGCCAATAATAACAATAATGAATTGGATGGACTATCCCAAGCCAGGATTGGGATGGACCGTTGTGTTAGCTGAACCTAGGCCATATTCAGAAACATCAGACATAACAATTGTCTAAAGTTGGGAGCCTGTATAGTTTTACTGGCAAAGAAAGACGGTGGAGCCTCGAAAAATCCTAAAAATAAAGCATAACTTTAATAACACTTCAATGTACAAGGACAGATCGATGCAAGGGGTTCGACTAAGTGAGTTTTAAAAGGATATTTGGCCAAGGGCGAGTCAACTTTGACTGCCGGCTTCTTGGAGACACTCAGCTTCTTCGGCAGCGTTTTAATGTTTCTATTACTCATCTTAATTCAGATATTAATTTGTTTACTATTTTATGTTGCCGCGACCTTTTATAAAAGTAGTGGTAGTCAGCTTGCAGACGGTCATCGATAGGGCAACAATCGATAACGGAAAGGAAATATTGTTTGCAACTGGTAATCTGTAATTAGGGATAATTATTCATTTCAGGATAATAAATTTAAAAAAATAAAACCAAATTTACAAAGAAAAATGTAATATTATTAATTATTTTTTTTGGTGAAACGGTGGCAAAGAACAATTCTAGTGTTGGTAAACTTCCACATGGACGGAGTTTGTTTAATACTATAAACACTTGAGTTGGCAGCCCAGCCGGCAATTTTTTTAGGCTACGTGTCTAAGTTTTTTGGAATCGTCTGGTGTTCAAATTACCCGACGCATCGGAATAGGATAAAGGTCCGGACATGAATAAGACGCCCAAGATGCTGAACAGCAAGGTGGCTGGCTACAGCAGCCTTATAACCTTCGCCATCCTTCTGATCGCCTGGCTGGCAGGATTTTCGAGTCGCCTCTTCGCCGTCATCCGCTTCGAGTCGATTATCCATGAGTTTGATCCGTGGTTCAATTACCGGGCCACCGCCTACATGGTACAGCACGGCTGGTACAAGTTTCTCAACTGGTTCGACGAGCGTGCCTGGTACCCGCTTGGTCGTATCGTCGGCGGTACCGTGTACCCTGGCCTGATGATCACCTCTGGCGGCATCCACTGGCTGCTCAACATCCTCAACATTCCGGTCCACATCCGCGACATCTGCGTGTTTCTGGCTCCAGTTTTCAGCGGGCTTACCTCTATCTCCACGTACCTGCTGACGAAGGAGCTGTGGTCTTCCGGAGCCGGCTTGTTTGCGGCTAGCTTCATTGCTATTGTGCCGGGATACATCAGCCGATCGGTGGCAGGATCATACGATAACGAGGGCATTGCCATCTTCGCCCTGCAGTTCACCTACTTCCTGTGGGTGCGTTCAGTTAAAACTGGGTCAGTATTCTGGTCGGCCGGAGCCGCTCTCTCCTACTTCTACATGGTGTCCGCCTGGGGCGGTTACGTGTTCATCATCAACCTGATTCCACTGCACGTCTTTGTGCTGCTCATCATGGGAAGGTACTCGCCGCGTCTACTGACCAGCTACAGCACTTTCTTTATCCTGGGCCTGCTGTTCTCCATGCAGATTCCATTTGTGGGCTTCCAGCCTATCCGTACCAGCGAGCACATGGCTGCGATGGGCGTGTTTGTCCTCCTGATGGCCATGGCTACCTTGAAACATTTGCAGTCGGTGCTTTCGCGCAATGAGTTCCGGAAGCTGTTCATCGTCGGTGGCCTGCTAGTAGGAGTTGGCGTTTTCGTGGCCGTCGTGGTACTTACGATGCTGGGCGTCGTGGCCCCGTGGAGCGGACGTTTCTACTCGCTGTGGGATACAGGCTACGCGAAAATCCACATTCCAATCATTGCCTCTGTGTCGGAGCACCAGCCGACGACTTGGTTCTCCTTCTTCTTCGATCTCCACATCTTGGTATGCGCTTTTCCAGTTGGATTATGGTATTCCATCAAGCATATCAACGATGAGCGCGTCTTCGTAGTTCTGTATGCTATTAGTGCTGTGTACTTCGCCGGTGTGATGGTGCGTCTAATGTTGACCCTAACCCCTGTTGTTTGTATGCTGGCGGGCGTGGCCTTCTCAGGATTGTTGGACGTTTTCCTGCAGGAGGATTCATCAAAACGGGTCGGTACAGCCATAAATGCCGCTACCGAAGTGGATGAAGCCGATGATTCTATCGAGAAGAAGACTTTGTACGATAAGGTAAGATGGTAATACATAAAATTGTTTTATAAACTAAATTATTCTCTCCTTATAGGCTGGAAAACTGAAGCACCGTACCAAACATGACGCTCAACAGGACACGGGTATCAGCTCAAACCTAAAGAGTATCGTTATCTTGGCTGTTCTTATGCTCCTGATGATGTTCGCTGTCCACTGCACCTGGGTCACTAGCAATGCCTACTCCAGCCCGTCCATTGTGCTAGCTTTCCACAACAGCCAGGATGGGTATGAAAACTTATAGTCACACCCATATATTTTACTAAAGAATTAAATTTCTTTCAGCTCGCGGAATATATTGGACGATTTCAGGGAGGCCTACTACTGGCTTTCGCAGAACACTGCCGATGACGCTAGGGTAATGTCGTGGTGGGATTACGGCTATCAGATAGCCGGCATGGCGAATAGAACAACTTTAGTGGACAATAATACGTGGAATAATAGTCACATAGCTCTGGTTGGCAAAGCTATGTCATCGACCGAAGAGAAGTCGTACGAAATCATGACATCTCTGGATGTAGACTATGTGCTTGTGATCTTTGGCGGTGTCATTGGCTACTCAGGCGACGACATCAACAAGTTCCTGTGGATGGTGCGTATCGCCGAGGGCGAGCATCCCAAAGATATCAAGGAAAGCGATTACTTTACGGACCGGGGTGAATTCAGAGTCGATGCTGAAGGCGCGCCAGCTTTACTTAATTGCCTTATGTACAAATTAAGCTACTACAGATTTGGGGAGTTGAAATTGGACTATAGGTTTGTAAACTACACAATTTTAAACGAAAAATAACTTTACTACAAGCATCTGTATATTTCAGGGGACCATCGGGTTACGATCGCACTCGCAACGCCGTCATCGGTAACAAAGACTTCGATTTGACTTATTTGGAAGAAGCTTACACAACGGAACACTGGCTGGTTCGCATATACAGGGTTAAGAAACCTCATGAATTCAACAGACCCGCTCTGAAAGCAAAGGAAAGGACGATTCCACCAGGAAACTCAATCTCTAGAAAGGTATGGTTTTAAATTTCAAACCGCAAACATTTTTTTAAATTCATTTTAATGATTTCAGAATGCAAAGCGTCGCAAGGGTTACATTCGAAACCGGCCTGTTGTTGTTAAGGGAAAACGGACCTTGAAGTAAACACAAAATTTATTTGTATTTATCTTACACTAATAGAAACTTGGTTAAAACGCATTACACATGGCACACGTTTGGTGAAAGTGGTTCCCGTGCATCCTCATGTTGAGGGCTTTTATTGCCGCGTCCAAATTAAATCAAACCTCTTTCCAAACTCGTGCGTCCCTGATAAAATTCCTATTCCTCCGATTTAATTGTTTCGCGGCTCCACCATTCATTGTCTTAAGCTAGCAATTCAATAAAGCAGAGTGTACATTTTTAAACCTAATGAAAGTATCCGTGTTTATCTTTATGGATAAAAATGAAAGACCAGGGAGAGTATTTTTACCACGTACTGGTTTTATTTTTTTAATTGAAAAGTATTAGCTTATTTAGATTAGTTCTCATTTCGTCGGCGCCTTTGGAGTTTCCTATCCAAGTCCCTTGATTTTTGCTTCTTGGCGGGCACGTAAACAGACGAAGAGAAAGGATTCTCCCCGTCGTTTAGGTCGCCGCCACCAGAAGTTTTCTGCAGGACCAGGTTTTGGGAATCAAAGTTAAATTCATCATTGGAATTGGCTAGTTGCCGGCGAAACACTGCTGCACTAGGAGTAACCCGGGCTTTGGGATGGGATGGCGGTAGCCAGGAAACCATTTGAGTGGTGGTATTAAAGAAGTAGTATGCCTTGCAGCCTTTGTCATAGACGTCCTTCCAGCTCGACTCCAGTGGGTATTTACGCAACAACCTCTTGTAGCGCTTGAGATACTTTTGGCTGGGCTGCAAGTTCGGAGCGTTGGTCCATCTGTTGACGCAGTAGAGGGAGCACTTGTGCCAGATATTGTACTTGTTGGGGCACAGTTTGTAACCATGATGCGATTCGTTGACTCCAATCCGCTCTTTGATCCTGTTTGACCAGAACTGCTCCTCGGGATTTTTGCGCTTCGGTTCGGGTTCCTCTTTATATACGTAGGGACTGCTGTTCTTGTCGTCGTCGTCATAGTTTTCGGCTATAATTTCTTCTATAGCTTCCGATGCAGGTGCGGAACCTAAGGGAGTAACATTTACATATAAATGTATTAATAATTGAAATTTCCTATTTTTGGTAATAAGGACTTACTGGATTGTTTCGTCACAAGTCCACGCTTCTTCAAGCGCTGCAATAATGCTGCTGGTAGACTCATTTTTATTATTCTTTACAAATTGTTTATATTTTTATCCGGCACTAGCAGCTGTGTGAAACCTCTTCGCTGAGTGGCAGCACCACCCAATTCCCAGTGCTGCCAGATGGTAAAGTACAGAATTTCAAGTTTATTTCGGATTATTGGATTTTAGATCAAAAGTAGAATAACGCCAGCATAATTGTTTGAGCCATAATCAAGCCCCACTATTATATAAATTATCCAGAATAAAAAAAATCCTACAAAATATGGCAACTTTGAAGCCACTGTTTTATACTGAATTTCCAAAGAAAATAGTGGCAGCACTGTTGAGAATTCTGGTAAAAAAGAGTATCCAGGTTAATTTTATTGGATATTTTTAAATTCTACAAAACCATGGCCGATAATGCGGAACCTCTTACCCTGGCCAGAGGTAAGGAATCATAATAACACCAACGAAATCTTGTAAACCCACAAGATGTATCTTTATTGCAGATGTCAAAAGATCGATAGAGCTGTTGGAAAAGTTGCAGGCCAGTGGAGATTTCCCAACAACAAAACTGGCTGCTCTACAGAAGGTGCTCAACTCAGACTTTATGACTTCTGTGCGAGAGGTGTACGAACACGTATACGAGACAGTGGACATCCAAGGATCCCACGACGTCCGGGCTTCTGCCACTGCCAAGGCCACCGTCGCCGCCTTTGCTGCCAGCGAAGGCCATGCCCATCCCAGAGTTGTGGAGCTGCCAAAAACAGAAGAGGGTAAGAGGGAGGTTTGCTTAATTTAATGGGTCTTTATAAAGCTATAGCCAAGTAGGATGCTTATTACAAACACTACAAATATCATTTAAGCCATATTATGTCCATCCTCTTCTACATATAGTGTAGAAAGCGGTTTAAACCATGTCTAATTTTGTCTTACAGGATTAGGTTTCAATGTAATGGGTGGTAAGGAACAAAATTCCCCCATCTATATATCTCGAATAATTCCTGGCGGAGTGGCTGACAGGCATGGTGGTCTTAAGAGAGGTGATCAGCTTCTTTCTGTCAATGGAGTGGTAAGTATTCACAAATAGCTTATATAAGTTTTTACAATTTTAAATTATTTTAGTCTGTGGAAGGAGAAAACCACGAAAAGGCGGTAGAACTTTTAAAGCAAGCTATTGGATCTGTAAAGCTGGTTGTGCGCTACACCCCAAAGGTTCTTGAAGAAATGGAAATGCGTTTCGACAAACAACGCAACACTCGTCGCCGCCAGTAAAACACTCATTGGCCTAAAAACTATTGCCATTAAAGTTTTTCGCCACTAGTTCATAATGTTAATTACTTCTGAAAAAATCAAACCCTCTACGAATAATATACAAAATGAAAGTTAATTATTATTTATTATAAAAGTACCCTTAATTTGTGAAAACGTGAATGTTATGTATTTATACCTAAATACCGTGTTGGCTTTTGTTCCAATAAAAGTACCATTAATTGTGAAACAAAACATTTGGTTTTTTTAGTAAAAAATATACATTTATTATTGCTTAAGTTTTTTACACATATTAAAATCATTTTTATATGATTCATTACATTCTAGGAGAATGATCTATTTTTTAGTTTTTTAACAAAGTCCTTAGCTTGTTTATCACCTTGCCTATACTCCAAGGCACGCAGCGCATCGGAATCTATAAAAATTATCATTTAATTGTCATTGAATTTAATAAGGTAGAAAATAAATTACCTGTATATTCTGGTCTTGATAAATTCATCATAATTTGTTCGCCAGGTGTAGCCTCAATGTCTCCAAATGAAATATAGCTCTCGGCTATATATTGACTTGACATTCCAAAAAGATCTTTATCTTTTATACTAAATAAGATGAGGCTATTTTTATCAGTTCGCTGCGGTTCACTTAAATTTCTGAATCAGAAAATATAAAAGTTAATTATAATCAAGATCATTTTATGTATAATTAATACTTACATTCGAAATTCTTGGTCATAGAGTGGAAAACAGTTTTTATTATGAACGTTGGTTTTCAATGGCGAGACATCGTTAAAACGAATTGTAGGCAAAAGCGAAATTTTAACAAACGAATCAACCGTTCCATTGGAGTCCATCGGGAGCAAGTTGCGAGCATTTAAAATATTTAACTAAAACAAAAAATTAGAATCGTTTTTTGCGTGTTAAAGTTTATCAAGCTTACCACTAAACCGGAATCGGTTAGATTAGCCATTATAGTTAGTTGTCCATACTGGGACGAAGTTTGATTCTTTTGGTACTCCAGCCGCTCCATATAATACTGATGAATAAGATCTGCTGTTTCCAGGGAGTATAGTTGTAACCTGCTTTGGATGGCTGATAGGATCTTCACGTCCGAAGCTTCTATATTACCCATTTTAAAACAATCTAACATAGTTTGGAGAGTATTGTTTAAATTTTGAAAGAATGCTGGAGGACGGCGTTTCTACAAAGATAAATAAAATATAAATACACCTTTTTTTATGATCGATAAGCAAATACTCACATCAAGATTCGACTGAATAAGGTCGTACATTATTATAGCCAGCTCAGACCAAATGCTGTCGAGTATTCTTCCGAAGTTAACTTCGTTAAGTGTTTCGTAAAGTGTAGTTAATGATCCTTCTAAGTAATTCATGAGTTGGTCCATTGAGTTTGAATCCTTAGCAAGGACTTCGGCCCCTTCAGCCAAATAACGTTTAATCGGAGGAGCCATTTTACGGGCTACGATCTCAATGAGTTCGACAATTTGATTTCGTTCCGTATCTAATGCGTTTTCGATGACAGCTTTGATTGTGGAAGCGCAGCGTTCAGCCTCTAGATTTGTGCGATATTCTCCCAATCTCTTAATAATATCATCTGTACCCAGTTCCTTCAAATAAAGAATACTTTTAGAGATGGCTTTTAGAATTTAGATTAAATAATTACCTTGATAAAGGAAGGCAAACTTTGGCGGATGTAATCCATATTGTTGATGGCAATACACCACTCTTGAGACAAAACTATTGAATGAAATAAAAGTTATTTAAAAGTAAAACAGTTGGCAAGAAAATTTATTACCAAACATTTTGTTATTATCTCCGATTAATGCCAAGTTCTCTACCCTATTTGACATTTTCTGAGCATAAAATATGCAGCATCGGCAAATGTCCTGTATTGAAAAATGATTAAATAAAGTTAAACAATATTGAACCTTCAAACTTACGTTAATAATTTTGGCAACAAAAGTATAGGATCCTTCGACTTCTGGCCAATCCAGTTGTTGCCAAAATATTTTGATTTGATAAAATATGGATAGAGTATCCACTGCAGAGGAACTGTATTTAACTGTCTCATCAACAGCCTTCAATTGGTCCAAATCAATAGCTTTTTGAATACGATTTAGAGCCTTTATTATAGAAATATCTAGCCAATGAGTGACGCCTCTCTCAAACCATGGATAAAAGTTTGACAGCTCCAGGTTTTCCGAGCAAAGTGATTCGCCTAATGTAGAGAAGTATTGTTAATAAATCTAGTATAATGCTTACCCTTTAAAATACTTTACCAAGTTGCACATATCGTTTCAAAATCAAATAGACTTCAAACAACGATGTTCCCATGTTCACATTATCAATGTTCGGTAAATATTCGAATTGATCGTCCGGTACATCTAATCTCTTAATGTTATTGCACACATCTATTATAATTGACTTGCATATTTCAGCCAGTTTAGCGTCATAAAATAAATATAGGATTGCCGAGTAGTTCAGCTGAATTTTGCTAAAAGAAAAAATACGTTAATGTTTGAAACACACAGGCTTTTGTAAGCACTTACTGGTAAAATAGTTTATCAAAGTATTCCATTGCACGTTGGAGGTCAGACCGAACCAACTGTATAAGTTTAATAATGTACTGAAGTTTCTCCTCATCAGTTTCGTGAGTTTTTGTTTGCCTGCTGCCCTCGACTATGTGTTCCAGCCACTCCTTGGCTCCCGTATTAATAGCATCTATAATGGCAGTGTCAATATTGCACGTCTCATCGGTACCGTTGGTATGTATCCAGCCGTAAACCGATTTGGGGAAAATGTCCACATTTTCCGGTACTTCCAAATCTTTGATTTTCTTAAGTATATCCAGGACTTCATTTAAGGCTCTTACAATATTCTTATCACTGGTGTTTTTGGCCCTTAGTTTACGGAGAACAGCGAAACACGAGGGCAGTAGGCGTTTCACGCCATCCCAAAATGTTTTCACATCCTCGGAATCGGTTTGCATGCAGTTAATGACGGGAACCACAATGTCGAGTATGGAATTAAATAGAGTAAAGTTGAGTTTATGCGTTTCATGGATGGTGCTGTAGGCGTGCCACTGGCTAAGGGCACAGTCGAACGGAGTGAGGCCACTTTGTGCAGCATGCTGTGACCGTATTAGCTCTGCATTGGGGCTGAACTTTCCACTCCACCAATAGTTGGCCACCTGCGAGGTTTCCAGCTCGTGCATCAGCAATAATTTCAATAGATTCTTATGCTCCTGCACGGCCACATTTTTGTTCTTCTCGGCACTCAGTGCTAAGTTGACCAAAAGAGAGCCACGGCTGCGGGTTTTGCCACCTTTTTCTAGGTTGTACCAGACGGTTAAGCCAGAAACTGGAATAGACTGAAAGGATATCTATTAGTCATGAAAATGTAATATTATTTATACTAAATACCTTTAAGGTAATGGCCGCTCTTCCAATCAGTTCATTATCGTGCTTTCCCGACGAAGCAGTTACAGCAATTTCTTTCATTAGCTTACTTAGTCCTTTCACTCCTTTTACATCCAAAATTTTGTTGACTTTCTCCTTAACCGTTTCAGCGGCATCAAAGTCCCTAAAATAATTTAATAGATTAATAACAGTAGCTCTTGAAATATGCACCAAAGAATAAAGCTAGTAGAGTGAATGCTTACATGCTTGAATATAAAAATGAAAAAAATCAACTGTTATCTATTTTAAAAACCAACAACTACATAGTTTTTGAAAAATGGGAATATATCGATGATTTTTAAAGCCATACCTTTTGGTTAGTGTGGATCAGAAAACTGAATGATCGACCATAAAACTACCCTGTTAGGTACTGTGATTGTTTCAATGAGTGCATTTTATTTTAAATGTTGGCTTGTTTTCGTTAAATCTTACCACACTTCAACAATGAGTACTTCATCTCGAGCATTGTCGGCAATTGGCCTAAAAATATATTTAAATCATTAAAGTTAACTAGTTTTTATTATTTTTAAACAAACTTACAGTGAGAAATGTTCCTCCCATATAGGATTTAAGGTGGCAGGCTTCACAGATGAGTTATAACGATGGGATCCATTCGATTCTAAGTACAGTGTAACAAAAGGATCGGACAAGCCATTGGAGTCCTTGGATAGCAGGTTTTCGGCCTTTATAATCTCCACGTTCAAGCGGACATTCGGCGGCTCCTTTTGCCTTGCCGCCTCAGAAATTTCCAAGTGCGTAGAATTGGAAATCTTGAATGCTTCTTGTACGAACTCAACGAGAGTACCTGTGCATTCTTCGTTGTTTTCACAGCCAATGTTGTTGTAAATTTCAAATAATATTTCTTCGTAAAGATCCGTAACCTGCAGAATTAAAAAATATTCATTAGCTTAAGAACTCCCTGCGCTCTTGAAAAGTTCCCCGCCTGTATCAGAAACTGTTTATTTCTAGGGGCATTTCTATTTGTTATACGTAAAAATAGAAAGCAATCAATTGCTAAAGGTCAAAGCCTAAGTAAATATCAGCAAATTCCAGATCGCGGAAATGTATACAAATACGTCATAAGGAAAATAGCCTAGCCAGAATTCAGCTGATGTCATGTTTGTTTAGATATGTTTGTCTTAGATACGCCCCAAGCACAAGAGCTTCAATTATTCATTAAAATTAATCTATTCCCCAAGGGAAAGACTTTAAGTATTTAGCCTAAAAAACCAAATGGTCCTTGTCAAAGATTTCACAAAAAACAAGTGCATAAATAGACCCAAAAGTATATCTTCTCAAATTAAGTGACTCAACAACAATGCTAAATCAATGAACTTATACAATCGCTTTGTTTACCTAGGCACTGTGAATGAAAATATGTATTTATATATCATAAATTATGAAAGCGTTGAGCATTTCCACAGGAAACGCTTTCGTTGGATTGTTTGAGCAATTGCCTGAACTTTAACGATTACTTACGGTCATTGAATGGCAAACTGCTTTCGCATGGTTTTCAAGTAAATGCTTATGTACGCCTCGAAAGTGACGACTGGATATGCTTCCATTTCGATTCAATATGCACATCCGGCGCTCGACTGCCTCTTTCAGAGACTGGGTCGAGGATGCTTTTCTCGCCAGGCGGATGTCGTCGATGCATCCGTTTCGGTTAAGGCTGTTACTTTTTGAAATATGGTTAGACTGCTTTTGTGATCCGAGCTTGCTCAGGACACGTGGTAACGACAAATAACTCATAATTATTCAAACGTAACTAATCCGATCAGTCCAATTCACTCTCAGTGCGTTGTGTTTATGTGCAAGGAAAATTTTTGGCAAATATTTTTCTGCATATATACCGTTTAAAACAGACGCACATATCTGATCCGAACAATAGAAACAGCACGATCACTTTATTGATGAGAACACCGACCACTTCCAACCGCTTGAGTTAAGAGTCTGTGGCTAAGTACAATAGCATCCGATCTTAGCGATATCCGAAATATCTTGTGCGTTGACCATGAGATAAAAAGTGTATGCGCTCGTTTCGATTCTGATTCGGATCCTATATGTATATGTGCCTACGTACACGATGGTTGGGAAGTGTTTGTGAGTAATCATGAAGCAGATTTAAGAGAAAATGTTTTATTTTTGGAAACTAAAAGGAAAAAGCTCAAGGTGGTAATGAAAATTTTCTAAAGTACGTTTGGCTTTTCTCTCGCTCACAATCGGTTCGCCTATATGTTTGCATCTTTTCTAGTTATTGTTTATTATATCAGTGTACATTATTGAGTTTGTTTATACAGCAAGTGAGTAGCTTTATCCAAAGACCTCTGGAATATTCATTTGTTTATTGTTCGACCGTTTCTATGGACACGACTTAATTTGTTCAGTTCAATTAATATACACCTTCCCAGACAGCAAACATGCGAATAGCAAAATGTTGGTACAAGATAAAGCATTGCACAGGCTTGGAGGCACTTGGAGCGTTATGCTTCGCTGCCAGCCGAAAAACTGACCCAACTCGAAATTTCCTAATCGTTTGGACCTGCCATGGCTCCAATGTGACCAGGCTTGAAAGCCCCCCATTTTCGCAAAGATAAACAATGGTAAGTTTCCTTTAAGCTTTGATTTGAAAGGAGCTTTAAGTTTTGGTACTAAAAAAAATACATAAAAAGGTCTAGCAAGACTATCTCTTGAACATTATCTAATCTATTACCGTACCATCTTGTTGGGTTCTTAAAAACGAATACGTACATTCATTACAGGAGCAGCATCCAGGACTTTGGTACTAATATCGTTATCAGAAATTGAGGCTTGCTCACTTTCTGTATCAAAGGTACTGGAGCACTCTGGATCCTGACTGAACTGGGATGTTCCATCAGGAGTAGTATCGGATCCTTCAGCCCCGGTGCTATCATCGATCTGTGATTTTTCTTCGTCAAGTGGGCTGAGGTGTTCAAAAACTTCTCCATCGACATCCTGCGGAGCCTCCTCCAAGGGTGCCAGGGAGGTTTTCAGGACCCCCTCATCAATCTGGGATTTTTGTCTAAGTAATGAGCCGAATTTTTCGAAGAATCCATCATCGCCATCCTGCAATCTAAAAACAAGAGAACATTTTTATTAAAAGCACAAAATAATTGCTCCAAACTATGCCTATAAGCTTTGTTAAATATATTAATTTTTGACTAATTGTTTTTTTGTGAGTTTTGGGATTCACTGTGATAAGATAAATAGTACATTCATATGCTTGTCATCATAGCACAATCGGACTATATACAATATAAGTCATTAGCAAATTTAAAGGCAGAGTGAGAAATTCCCTGCAACTGAGTCATGTTTTCGTTAGCTTTTAATGATTTTCAATCGAATCCGGGCTTTGGATTGCCATTACATCAGTTACATCCCACACATGGATGTTCCACTTTTTAGCTTTTATTTTTCTGATGACGGCGATGCTCCAAAATGCTTTCGTTTATCTGAAGAAACACACATTGCCGCATATGAATGGAAGACAAACATCCGCGAATTTTTAATTCGAATGCAAAGGTATGCGTGAGAATCCGCCTCTGGATTGATGGATCCGATTATCCAACTTACTTTTGCTCGTGCTCTGTGGGAGGATTCATTTTCATTTCTTGCAGTTTGAAGAAGAATCCCTTCCACATTTGTTCCTCGTCCATGTTTGGGTCGATATATGTCTTTTGGTGGGGTTGATTGGGGAGCACAGAATCCAACAAGTGGCACCGGGTTGCTAAAACATACTAACGGCTTATTGGCGCTGGGCAAACGTTTGTGTGATTCACAATCCAAAGCTTCTCTCCGACGTAGATTTTTCTCAGTGCCAGTTCACACGCTCTTCCGTACAATATCACGCATTATAAGTTTGTACGAATATGTTGGGCCGTATACATTTGTATTTCTAGTTACCATGGAGATCGGCGTATATTTTCTGAGCATTTTTTGTTTACTGTTTAAGTTTGTTTTAAAACAGCTTTTTTAGAGTTTAATCTCTAAAACTACTGGACATCTAATGGTCACTGCCCAAAACTAATGGTGTTGGCCCTTACAAACACATACAAACCAAAAACAGGTATGGGCACAGGTATAGTTCTTACCACCATTTTCTTCTTCTTCTTTTAACAAAACCACCACTTTCTTTACCACTACCTTTAGAAGGCCCTTCGAATACTATAATTAAGTCAATAAAATTACGTATTTACCTAAATTTCTTATAAATCGTTATATCCGGGCGCCGGAAATATCTAGTCATCTTCAAAATATCCTTTACAAATTAGAATATTTGGTTGCTTATTAGAATTCATTAGTTAAATCCAAGCAATAAAGCCATTTTAAGTTTTTTAAGCTGAATAACGTTATTATAGACAAATTTTGAAGATAAGATATTTTGTTTAGTTGACTTGGTATATGTTATCTGAACCGTTTAATACTATGTGTTCCAATTCCACGTTCCGTCTTCACAAACGATAGTCACTAGCTGCAGCCCTGTTTCCCGATAAACAAAACAAACCGAAAACAATAACAATACACTTCACGGTTTTGTTCTTTTTAAGAATTTATTAATTAAAAAATCATGGATTTAAAATATAAGCGGCGGTACGACAATTTGAAGCGCCGCATCAAGAACTATACGTTGGTAAGAACCGAAGTATGATACTAAATATGAGTTCATTTAGCCACAACCTAGGGCCCTTATGTACATAGTTGAAGTTTCGCAACAAATGTAGTTTATTCATTAAAAATTGTTGTCGTTTATCTATTTCTAGGAAAACGCTGCCCTTACCGACGAAATTTGTAGCCTGCAGGGCGAGTTATCTGCCACTCGATCACAAAGACTTTATTTAATTGAAAGACTTATGTTTTATGAGGGTTTGGAAAAATCAAATAGTGTCCGGAACAGCCTTTCGAATGGAAAACCAGAATCTACCGACAACCAGGCGGGCAGCTTGAAAAAGATTAAGCCGGCTGCTATGCAAAGGAAGCTCAGTGAAGAAAAACCAAAGAATGTTGGCATAATCCGCAAAAAGAAGTCTGTTTTCCCCGTGAACCCGAATAGCGTATTGCTACACTCCCTGGGAGAAATAATCTCTGGGAATGTCAATTTCCACAACGAGAACTGGATCTATCCAGTCGGATATGTCGCAACTCGTATTTTCGCACACCCAAAAGACCCGCGAAAGAAGTGTGTTTTCACCTGCAAGATATTAAATAACGCCGGGATTCCTCAATTCCAGATAATACCTGACAACGATCTGGATGGTGTGTTCTTCGGCGAAAGCGCTAACGCGTGTCACATGGAACTTTTGAATACTATTCAAAGATGCCCCTATGTAAAGGTGAAAATTCCATTCGAGCTGCAGGGAGAGGTCTTTTTTGGTTTGTCCAACCCAAAGACCCAATCGCTTCTAATGGGGGATCCTGGTTTTCAACAGTGCAGCAATTTCAAAAGCTTCATAGTTCCGACTTCCAAGTCTCTCAACAATCCGTCTATATCCTTTGAGACGCTTCAGTCATTTCTGTCTTGATATTAAAAGCCAGATGTTTATGAGGAATAATATTAAAATAATTTAAGAAACTATATTAATATATGAAGCTCTTATGAAGTATTTGTAGAATTAAAATCACAGAATAAATTGAACTATAATCTATAAACGAATAAATGTTTGGAAATCGGCAAGTATCTAGTACTTGCATCTAAGTATCTAGTAATTGCATCTAAGTATCTTAAAGATTCCGGTTCCGTTTTCATATTGTTCCTAGCAAAACAAATCAGCTGATTGCTTATGGAACTAGTGTCGATAGTAATCGATACCATCGGAAAGGCAACCCTTGTAGCGAACATATGTACACAACATATCTGAAAAGTTTATTATAATAAATATACTTGGGAAATTGTTTTGGTTTTACCGATTTTGCCGACCCCCTTTAATTTGTATCAATTGCCTTTTTCTGCGACCCAGCAACGACTTCCGTCGCCATGGGCAGCATCGAAAAGGCGTGTATTTCCGGATTTTTGTGCCGACTCTGTTCGGAAATGCATAGGACAGTAATTCACATTTACAGTGATCATGGCCAACGTTTGTGCCTTGTGGAGAAAATCAATGGATATTTACCAATAACTGTAAGTATTGAGTAAACCTGGGACGAGATATCATTCGGATTTTCCTAATGCGCAGTGAAATGCACTCGTATGATGCACACAAAGAGCTACTGAAAAATTGGGCTGCACACGATCGTTGTTGTAATTAATGAATTTTTCTATCGTCACAGATTTCTCCAACTGATCCATTGCCGAAAACTATATGCAAAACATGTTTACACCGTGTGGAGCAGCATTATTCACTTTTGATGCGCCTGACGCGTTTGCGGAGAGAGCATAGGATTAAGTTTTTGAACGCAACTAGAGAAGATGTAAGTCATTTAAAATAAAAAGTCTCCACGCCACATTATTTATTATCCTCTCATCTTTGCTCCACAGGTAGGTTCCTCTATTTCCAGCGTATCCGATGAGGAAGACCACAGACCAAGGGAATCCCACAGGACGAGCCCATCTGAAGGCAGCAGCGTCCAAGGCCAGGGGACAAGTGGTGCCGGGCCCAGCAATAGAGACCCAGACGGAGCTGGTCCCAGCAATAGAGACTCAAAAGAAAATGGACCTAGTACTAGAAACCAAAACGAGACTGGAACCCAACCGACCAACCAGGAACTAACGTAGATTAAAATTCTCTGGTCGGTGGAGCTATCTATACGAGTAGTTGAAGTGTGTTTGAGTGTATGTTAAGATCGAAATAAAATAAGCAATTTATTTAATTACATAGCGTTAGTTACTTTCAAATACAGATGCCATTCGACAACAAATCGATAAAGTAAAATATGCGCGCAGATGGGTGTTTTTTTTTGTCATTTTCTGTTGGTATTTCCGTCATTTGGTGTGTGCATTTCTAAAATATTTTCGTAAGAGAAGGCAAGAATCTGTGGGGGCCTTTCAGTCACAAGTAAGTTCTGGCGTACATCTATCTGAGAAAATTATTATGCGACATATCACTAGTAGTTTAATCTTATCATGGGTATCATGGTATCATGAATGTGGAGCTTCTTTATTTACTTTGCGAACTTTTTTTTTAATATCTTACTAATATATCTTTAAAAAATGAATTCTGTTTTATGTTGAGTATATTGGCCCGTTATTATTTACGCTTTTTATAAACGACTTGCCCCCTGCTTTAACGAACTCTCTAGTTCTTATGTATGCAGATGATGTAAAGCTTTGTCTTCAGTATAAATCCATCTCTGCCCAATGCAGTCTTCAGTCTGACCTTGATAACTTTCAAAAATGGTGTTTGGCTAATGATCTAATACTTAATGGATCAAAATACAAGCATATGTCTTTTTATCGTTCTTGCCCTCTGCAAGCTACGTATTCCATTAATGGGATTGCCTTAGAAAAATTAACCCAGGTTAATGATCTCGGCATCCTATTAGACATAAAACTTAAATTTGCCGACCATATTTCCTTAATGGTTAATAAGGCTAAAGGAGTCCTTGGTTTTATTAAAAGGTGGTCAAAAGAATTTAATGACCCCTATATAACCAAAACTTTATTCATTTCTTTGGTCCGTCCGATACTAGAGTACGGTTCATGTGTCTGGAGTCCCCAATATGGAGTACATAAGGACCGCATAGAATCCGTACAAAAGAACTTTTTAATATTTGCACTTAGAGGTCTATACTGGGATGCAAATCTTCAGCTTCCATCCTACAGTAGCAGACTTTTACTTATTAACTTACCTAGCTTAACAAATCGTAGGACAATGCTCGGTGTAGTTTTTCTGCATAACCTTATCAACGGGGATGTAGATAGCCAGCATTTACTAACACGCTTAAATTTCAACATTCCTAATAGAAGGACTCGAAACTTTAGTCCTCTGTTCCTTAGCCGTTGTAGTTCGACATATGCACTGCATGACCCTTTTAGGGTATTATGTTCGAACTACAATGGTCTCTACTCTATTACATCTCTTTCCTGTCCCTCTAATTTAAAATATAGAATTTTAAATTTCCTTACTAACTCCTCTTAGCTTAATAATTAACATATAACTTAATATACTCTAACAAATCGTTTCTTGAGCGCCCCTCGGTCGTCTGGGCCTCTAAGCTTTATGATGAATACAGGAATGCTAGCTGATGCTCTTATTGATGCACAAGCCATTTCCAAATTCTGAAAGACCGCGAAAAAAAAAAAAAAAAAAAAAATAATAATAATTTATGCTTCAGCATTTCTATTTTGAATAATATCTTCCCAGATTCACCCTTTTTGTTCTCGAAATAAAATATACAGGTAAGGTAATTATTATTGAATTTTAATCATAATTCCAGTATAAGTAAATTTTGGGACGACGTGCAGGAAATCTGTTACATTTTGAGATTGGTAAGCACACACAAATTTGAAGTTCAACATAGAGTGAAAAAATGAGTTCTTATGAACATACAAATAATACAATTCTAAAATTATATCTCTTGAATATCGAAATAATGAAATACATAATTGCGGTTTAATTTGCAACCCAATAGCCAGCTCCAGTTCCAGTAAAACTTTGTAAAATGAAATGTTCTCCTTTATTGAGCCTAACAATACGCACGAATCGCTGAATACTTAAAATTGTCAATCAGAATGGTATAATGATAACTTAACGTATCTTGCTTTTCCTATCACTAATGTCTCCTGCCTTATAAATATGCATTATGTCAGCGAAAACACTTGTGCTTGCAATTGTTCCTTCATCTTAATTTAGTAAACGTATATTGTTTTTAGTTGCGGCTTCAATTCTGGAGGTATCACTGGAGTGTGTTCCACTTTTCGAGTAACTAAGCGCTTAAATCGTCCACTAAATTGCTTGCGAAATCCTTTAAAGCTGTTTTTATCACTTGCCGCCATCATGTCCTGAAAACAGAGAAAGAATTTAATTAGGTATGCTGTTGATTTTTCAAATGCCATCACTATCAAAAATATTAAAAGCTAATTCCATTATTTGTTTAGCTTTCACTTTGATGGATCGTTTTTTAACCGCTTTTTCTGATAATATTTTGTCATAGACCCCGCCATTCATCAATTAAGCTATCGACAATACTTATATTTCATTCTTGCAAATAAAATCCATTCAAAGTTTGAGATAAAGTGGCTGAATGAGTTGATTGCCCCAAATAAAAAATTAAAAACAAGATTTGAATCGCAAAAGTGAAAGTAAATGCCGGAAATGAAAGAAATCAAATAAATTCAGCTGAACCCGAACAGGCAACTTTTAAAGTTTGTTTAAACATCTTTAACATCTCGCAACTAAAATCTTTGTAAACACTAAGCTCTTATCAAAAAGATTTTATCTTTATTGGAATTCCTAGGATTGGAATTCCTAGGAATACTTATCACTAAAGCGATAACCAAAATTAAATTTTTCGAATGCTGAATGCGACCATTTTATAGTCAATATAATATACAACCGAATGTCCGCAAGTAAGTTCATACTTCCATACATACTAATGATTTAGACGGCAATTGTTGAAGTGTTTCCTCTTTATCTTCCGCACACACAACAAATAAAAGCCAACACACTTAACGATACTTAATTGGGGCTGTTCCGATTTGCAGAATCGGTTGGATTTTGGTTTTGAACCACTTGAAGTTCAAGAGTTTTTTAAGCTTGAACTTTTGCGCTTAAATCTTTTCCTTTGCTCCGGGTTTAAATCCGTTTCAAAATTATTATCATTTGAATAACTTATGGCAGAAATGTTTTCATGGTCAACTTATCAAAATATTTTTATTTGTTTCTGATTTGAAATGGTTCGTAATATTTACTTCCAAAAAAATGGAATCATAATAAGAGTAAAATGAATTTTCTTATCTTCAATGACTCGTAGAGTATTTCTGAAGAAAATAAAACAAATTTTTAGCAGCATTATTTGTAGTTAATTTTCTCATATTTATACTATTTACAAGAAAATAAAGAATTTTTCAAAAATAAATTAGCTTTCACTCATTTCTGAAAAATGTGAAATCATTATATTACTTTTACTTTTTGCCAATTTCCGGCGAGAGCAAAAAGCGGAAGACCTCAATATGAAGCGGCTAACCGTGTAGATCTTAAACTTTGTTTTCAAAAATAAGCTTTCAGAACTATTTAGTAAAGTAAGAGCAGAATACAGTTTGCCACTTTCTCTCTCATCAATCGAATAACTACGAAAATCTATTACTTTTACTTTTTATTAAAAACTTCCAGCGAATACGAAAAGCGGAAAAGACCTGTAAATACTAAAGTGGCTACCCGTGGAGAGTATCTTATAACCGTTACGTCATCCTGCGGCTAGCTAATCAGTAAATAGTTTCTGAACATGAGCGGGTGGCATGGTCCCGGGACTTACGGGACTAAGGCAATTGTAGATGTGCGGAGTTGGCGCCTTGGGGGGAAATGTCCACTCGCTCTGTACAGCCTTTCCATTGCCGTTCGCATCGCAAGTAGCTGGAGGATTGCTACCGTGTCCAGTGCTCCGGACGAAGGTGACGTGAGTGTGCTTGGCGGATGGGGAAGGGCTCTTCCTGGTCTTGTCCTCGCTGGAATCCTTCATTTTTATGTGATCGTCCCAGTAGCGTATAAAGATATTTTTGGTGTGGTGCTGGTGGTGTTGGACCTCGGTTGTAGTGGACGGCGGGCGGTGGGCGGGTGTGGGAGTTGTGCTCAGATACTCGGATACGGATACATCACGCTGACAACATTTACTACGGACAAGACGCATTGTTAATTTTCCAGTTTTACCCGCGATCGGTGTAAGTTGTATGGCCTGGATGGATGTCTGGCTAGTACATTTTCATACTCGTTTGTATTTTCATTTAGGAAACTGTTTAGGTATCACAGATGGTTTTGAGGCTAAATACTATATGTAGTTAGATGTGTACACATGTACACATGCGATTGTTCCAGTGCAAAACTATTTTCAAGCCTGCCTGTCTGCGGTTCGAGGCGGATTCGACCATTTGCGGAAGAGGTTTTCAGTATACTAATGTCTTGCGTTGTATTTCAGGTAGGTAGATAGGTAGGGTAGGTGTAACTGCGAGACTAGAATATCGATTTTCTGTATATGGGCTGCCGTTTTGGGTGGTGAGTTAGCTCATGATGGCTGCGCACTACACTTTTTAGCTCTGGCAGCCCTTGGAGCCCTAGACTCCTTCGATGACATGCACGTTTCTAGTAGTTTTAATGTTCACTTATTGCGATTCGGTGGTATTTATAGGAATGACATTTTTTTTCATCTTTTCAATGCTAGATACAACTTACACAATATCAATTTTTTCGCCCGTGCACATGTGTACGTGTGCCTTTGTACGAGTAGTATTTTCTAGTCGTCGTGCAAAATAAAAATGCGATTTATGCTAGCACTTTTCACTACATACATATGGTAGTATGTTTGCACATTTTTAGCTGCTTTATATTTAATTACACACATTAGATTTAGTGTTTAAGATTCGAGTTCACTTCGGTTCGGCTGGCAGCGAGTATCTGAATCTGAACAAAAGCAAAATATTAATCTGACTCATGTGCGCTTGACTACAGCCAAAATATCGGACCTCTCCGATCTCTCTTGGGCTCTCCCCCGATCTCACTTGGTTAATTCGAATATACAAACGTATCTACATATACATATATGCATGGGCTTTTTAACACTCGTACTAAGGCCTTCTGACGTCAAATGACATTTGGTGAGCGTACTTTTTTCACTAAATTCCCGTTTATATGTATGAAGTTGAGATGTATAAATAAATAGCAGGGGTTTTTTTTATTGAGTGATTTACCGAAGATGCAGTCGGGCAAAAAACTTCCTAAAAATAATCCTCAAAATACTGGAGAACGTCCACGGGAACGAACGCGTAAATTAATTTTTAGGAAGCGAAACACTGTGGTTTCGAATTAATTGTTCCACGCCAAACTATCATCGTAGTATCCAAATATTTTCGTTTGTTTGACCCAAAACAATTGAAACGAATTAAGCGTTCGCTGGGGAGTGAGTGAACACTGTATCTTTGAGATACAGTATCTGCATGTTCCACTTCCGCCGTTTCGCGGGCGCACAGTTGGCAGTTTGCTGGCGTTAGGAATTGCAGTAGTGGTTTCTCGTGCTTACTTTCGATATTTTGTGGTGTGTCTTGTGAAGCGCCGATCATTACGAAGACAGAAAAACTCCACCTTTAGTTTTTAGTAAAAGAAATTAGTTTACTTCGATTTATTTTTCTGTTTTATCGCTGGCTCTGAGCCGACTAATTTTTTTGTAAAATACAGTACTAAAACCAGGACCATAACACCCACTGGTACCGCTGTAGTTAAGTAGTCTGGACTGAAAAACTTCTGAAGAGGGCCCAGGAAGTCGTTTCTGAAAATATATATATTTCGCATTATTATTTTTGAATAAAAGGTGTTTGTATAAACATTTTTTGAGTAAAGTCTGTTTTCTTTAACCAGGAAAGTTTTAGGCCAGGGCTCAAGTTGATTTTACTTTTTATATACAATTTACAAAATCTGGATTAAGTTGATGTAAACGATATGTATATTATACAAGGGTTATAATTAATTGAATTTAAGAACGGTAGCTGGAAGGAATTATGTATTTTAAGAAACATTTGTACAATTAAATTTTAATAAATATTTTGGCTGTGTCAGAGACCGTGTTTTGGTGTTAGACAACCTCCCACCAGAAACTAAACATTTTAATTGGTAAATAGTTAATTTAAAACAATTTACAAATTAGTCTCTTCAAAATTGAGTTTAAAAAAATGTTTTTTTGGCTCACTTACTAAAGACATGCATCAGTCTCTCACAAATCCCTATAAATAGGCCATAATCGGGCTTTTAACATTCGATGGATTGCAATTTTGAAATAGAAATAAAAGATTAAACGAAAATACTTACACAACGCTTGGTAATTCAGGAACTTTCTGTGGGTGACTTTTGGTTAAGTAGCCCTTTTCGGCAAACTGGATAAAAGCTTCGGGAGTGAATTCCTTGGTCATATAGCGATACATTTTTCCTTGCCGCAAGCTTTGACAATATTTCTTTTTTCAATATTTTCCTAGTTATGATATTTTATACAATAACTTACAAAATAAAAGCTGGGGATTCTAATGCACCCAGGCGTTTGGCAGTAGATATTCCCGATTCGCCGCTGTTCATTCGAGCAATGTTCATCTTTCGCTTCAGGGTCCCGCCCACAGACTCCCATACGGCATAAAGACGCTGACACACGGTACACTCGGCCGAGTAGCTACAGGTGGGTGGGCAAGCTCATATACACAAATTCACATTATGACGCCGAGACGACGGCCTCGGCTAATGACTAATATAGCTTACAAGAAGACAAACCAGTCCCCGGTTGTGGCCCCGGTCGAGGCCTGAGTTAGGTGCTCAAAATTGTAATCGGATAGCTCTTTCACCGCTGGCTCCAGGTTGTCGTTGAAGAAGTCTAGGATTTCGTCATCGTTAGCCTTGCCGTGGTAAAGAATGGGGATGCCGCGGCGGAAGAACACCAGGGATGGCTCCTTGCTGGGATCATAGATGGAGACCAGATTGCTGTCCACTGCCTGCACTACGTTGGCCGAGAGAGTGTCCTCCAACTGAGGCTGTATCTTGGACACCACGTTCTCATAGTCCAAGCAGCGCTGGCAGTTGTTTTTGTCTAGAAAGTGCATTAGGCCGAAGTGTCTTTAGTTAATACCAATCAGCGCCCACGTAGCCGAGCTGCCACTACATATATATTTAATTTCTTACTGAATAAAACCACAACGTTGCTGCTGCCGGTCAGGAGTTGAATCAACTCGGTGTCGTCCACCCTGCGCAAATCCTGGGCATTTCCACTGGCCAAGCTAAAAGCTGCGATGAACACCAAAAGCAGCATCTTGACTTGATTTTTAGGTTGTCGGCTCTTGAATGACCAAATACACATATATATAAGCCGATCTCAGCGATGTCAAAAGTATTTATTTATATCGAAATATCGTTTTTGGCCAGTCCAATTCGACGGTGAAATTTACTTCTTACATACATTTTACTTTGGCTTTGGTTTAGGGTTGTCAAAATATGAATAAAATATATTTGAATTTGTTTTAAGATTTTATATATTTTTATGATCTCATCAAAGAATAAAGGTTTTTTTTTATTTCAAATTCATTTGTTATGCAATATTTGTTGAAACATTTCAGTAAGCTCAGTGAGTATAACATTAAAATTATTTGTACATGAATTTTACTGTAGACATTCCGGTGCGTAGATGGACAGTCAGATGAATCCCAAAAATATAAATATTTCATACTCCTATTTTTGCATTTTATTTTTATGAAAATTTTTTAAATAAATAAATAACCAATTATTACTGTAATACAATTTTAAATAATACAATCTTAACTAGATTTGGTTTGCATCTATGTCCTTCTTCCTTCAAAATTTTCTATAGAATTTATAACAAAATCGTATAGGTCCTCGATTTGTTGCGCTAATTTATCTGAAATTTATAAATAAATAGTATTTACTATTTCAGTAGAAACGGTAAACAACCATCTTACCCTTATCAGTTTCTACAAATTTACTTTCCATTCCGTCACTTTCGCCAGAGCTGGACATGGACATCATATCGTCCTTGAAGAGATTCTTCAGCTTTGGCAAAACCAAGAGCAGAAAAATGAGGCCAATAAACTTAACAATTTTCTTGAATATCAAGAGTTTCAATAATATTTTTCCAAGCGTATAAAGGCTGATCTTGGATTTCAGTTTGTCCAGAAGCGAAGAGTCGTGGGAATACGGAAGAGGCGGCGCTGGCTTATAAAAAGGTGGGGGCGGAGGTCCGTAAACAGGATAACTGGGAGGTGGCCCGTACTCTGGGGGCGGCGGCAGGTAGTTGTTGTTTGGCGGGGGGTTGTAATGGTATCCATTATTTGGAGGAGGTCCATAGTCCGGAGCAGGTGTTGCAGGCGGCAGGTAGTTGTTATTTGGTGGAGGATTATAGCTATATCCTCCGCTATCATTGCCTGATTTAGAAAAGGGATATGTTAGAGAATCACAAAGCACTTTCGTTTTGTAGTATTAAAGGAGGTTTCCATAGCACTTTCAAAGATCACTTTAAATCTTAAAGCTTAAAAGATTATGTTTAATAGATTCACACACCAAAATCCAACGAATTCGACGTTTGAACATCACCGGAGTAGCTATCTGGCACCGAGGCACAACTGCAAATGCAGGAAGCGCATATAAGAACTGCCAAGTATTTGTTTCGCATTTTCGAATCGATCGAGCCTATAGATATGAATTAAACGGTTCCTAAAAGTACAATAAACCGTTTTCTGGCCGTCCGTAGCTTTATAAATTTCGACCAGTAAAAATTGTGGGTAAAGAAAATATGTTGGGTATGTGCAAGTATTTATAACTGCCATTTCCCCTACAAGGCAACGTTTGGCCACTATGCAGTCCGCGTTGAATCATTGTTATTCTTGTAAGAAATGTGGCTGCCGCCACACGTGCTGTTCAGTATGCATACTACGTGCAATTGCCCGGACTGGGTTGGGGATTTCGAAACAGAAGCAAAAAGTTCAATACAACTTTCACTGCCCAACTTTCAAAAGGCTGGAATTAGTAACCGCCTATATATATAATGGTTTTTTGAGTTTTTGTCAACTTCTCAGACGAAGATAAACTAGTTTCTTGTGGGAATAAACGATTTGCATAAATCACACAATAAATGGTTCATGAAGAGTTTGCACAGGTGAATTTAAATACGTAACGGATTCATGAATGGGGTTTACGTGAGTACTTGCATGTGGATATCCATTTAAATGACATAAATTATTTGAGCTGCTGTAGGAAGTATTTATTTACATTAAAGCTTACTATGAATATCCTTTGTTAATTGAAAAGTGTCACAAAACACCGGGACATCTATAAAAGGGCGCTAATAAAATTTCAAACGTTTCTTTTAATTGGTTAATGGGCCACGACACCTGTTGAATATTTATACGTCCGGAATGCATTTATTGATATATAATTGAAGGTTCGCTGAATACAAAGTAAATTAAAATGAACAAGTATTGGAAAAAGTTTTCAGCTGATCCTTGTCCTTTTTTATTTAAGAATTTGCAGCCATTAAAGAGGGCGTCCAACTGGTGATTGATTTAGTGAAATGAACTGTCGGAAAAGGGACGACCTGCAGAAGAGGGGGTTCCTGTTATCTATGACCTGGCTATCTACCATAATATATCATATCTATGCATATCATATCTAATAAATGTAACCAAATTATTCAAAATAGGTGGAAAGATTGATTTAGACCAAAATTGATGTAAATATATGATCTAAACAACCCTAATAAGGACGAGCCAAGTTGTAAGCTTTAAGTGATCTAATATATTTTATAAGTATTAAATATATGCTTTAAAAAAAATAAATATTTTTTTAAAATTTTAGATGCCAGAAACAATTTAATGTCACGTCCTAACTCGGAAATAGGTGGAAACAGTGACTCCCGTGGCTGATTCAAAGTCTGGAATTTGTTAATATTACTTTAAATTTAGCTTTTCTAAGAGAAAATAAAACAAGTCAACTAATAATCAACAAAAAAAAATCCTGTTATTAATTTTTGGAGGCTAGTTTTGATACAAAAGAAACATAAACTGCTGGAGTGTAGCACTCCAAGTAGTTTGGAACTACAAGTTGGAACTAAATTTAGTTCTTGTTTTTTTTTGTCGTCCCTCCTAGTTTAATTATATTTCCGGCTTACGTTTCTGTAGTTTATAAAATTTTTGTAAAATGTATAAAAAATTTTGTGTATTTTTGTTTGGTATTTTTGAGTATATATTTTTTTAAATTTTGCGCATTTTTGAATCTAGTAGGGAAACCGGATTTTTTAGTGCATTTTCAGGGAGGAATAAAATTCGATATCTGGCAACACTGCTGCAATTGTTAATCATTGGAAAGTTTTTTTTATGGATTAATTAAATTACACTATTTATTTTTGACGGCACCTTAAACTAAACAGAATATTTGAGCTCCAACTGGCCACCGATCCCCAGGGACGACACAAAGTAGGCGCCGCAAAGGGAGCCACACACAAAGAGTGCCATCTAGCAAAGGAAAACCCGTTTCACGGCGTTCGGATATATAGAAACAAGGGGCGTCATATATCTCTGCCGACCGATCTCCTGCCACTATGATGGTTGAGTCCGACGGAACTGCCGATGCCACCCGCCGCCTAAACGTGAAGAAACAGACTCTGGACGACGCCTATGCGGTGCCCGCCAACTTCCTGGAGATAGACGTGGTCAATCCACTGACCACCATGGCGGCGGGCAAGAAGCGCTACACGGACTACGAAGTGCGGATGCGGGTGAGTGCTCCCCGTCGGATCTGACCTGATCGGATCGCTGAACTTGCAAAAAAAAAGCAAAAAAGCAAAAATGATAACTCAAGATAGCTGGAATTTCCATACACATGCAGGCGGCTTACGTGTGTGTGTGTATGCCAGCGACTTTGTTTTTCGGACATTAGTGTGTGTGCGGGCGATACGCCTATAAAGCAGAACGAGTGATAAATATTAGTCACAAGTGCAGCGCACTGATTTGGGGACTTGAGTCACGGATTCCCGGAGGCAAATCATGCGGGCCCCATTTCCCAGGGGGTGCTAATTGAAGCCTAATGTTCTCTTGATTTCCTTTCTTTCAGACTAACTTGCCCGTCTTCAAGGTAAAGGAGTCCAGTGTGCGGAGGCGGTACAGCGATTTCGAATGGCTAAGAAACGAGTTGGAGCGGGACAGCAAGGTGGGTAACCAGGACATCATACAGGGTTTTAAAACTAAAATATCAGTAAACAGACAATATAACCTACTGTAGTAGCCATAAAGTAATGATAACAGCCCATTCATCAACTTATAATCTCTCTCAGTAATAAATTTCGAGTGTTTCGATTCACACGAATACACATAGATCCTAGGGTTTTTACTTTCAATTGCCGCCTTAAGGAAAATATTTCCAATGTAAACAACAGCCAAGTACATTTCAACTTATGACTTTTACTATTTTAGATCGTGGTGCCGCCGCTACCAGGAAAGGCCTGGAAACGGCAGATGCCATTCCGCGGCGACGAGGGCATCTTTGACGAGAGTTTCATTGAGGAGCGGCGCAAGGGCCTGGAGGCGTTTATCAACAAAATAGCCGGACATCCGCTGGCGCAGAACGAGCGCTGCTTGCACATGTTTCTCCAGGAGAACGTCATCGACAAGAACTACGTGCCCGGCAAGATTCGCAACACATAAGCGGGGGACTCATCCGGGACAAGCCTAAAAAATAACTAATAGCAAACCATAGCAATGCAATGAAGCAAAAACTCGAACGAACAAACCCGCTACGAAATCTTTGGGGAATCTGTGTGTATGTGTCGGTGCGCCTGGCGAGATTGGAGCTGGAAAAGTGGAGACGGCACGAGACGATAAGGAAGGAACGAAGACGAGGCGGAGCCGCGAAGAAATAGAAGGAATATGTTTATTTTTCAAATGGAAGGATGACGAAAGTGCTGCTGCTCAGTTAATGTTGAGCCCCCTCTCACCCCCCGGGGGACTAGTTAAAAAGCATTGGGAATTTTTAATGCTAAATTCAAGTTTATAACAATATACATACATATATATAAATATTATATACAATACATATATTTACGACTAGTGTACATAATACATGCCTACCGCGCCCGCCTCGCAAAAAGAGTCTTGGTCGTGGGAGCGATCTCCCTCCCTGTCCGGATTTCTACCGGTCCCTGTCCCGCTCCCGTTTTTCCGATTCTCAGTTTTCTTGTTTTGACCCATTGCGGCAGTAATGAAGCAGCAAAAAATTGGGAGCGATCCCGATCCAAAAATCCGATCCCTCGTACGTGTATGCAAATTATTGAATATTTTGAAAATGTTTAGTGAATAATATTGTACTTCGAATCAAATTAAAATAATTCCAAAAATATTTAAAGGAGTATTCCTATTTTTTAAATTAAAAAGTGGGAAAATTAAGTGGTAATAATTAAAACGGGGATCTTAATCAAAATCTAGTATATATTTTGGTATTTTTTGGTGACAATTCAAATTTGCCCGCTCGAGTTCTGTTAATTTTTAACATTAGTGAGCTGTCCCTGGGAAACTTCAAATTTTGGCATGCAGATGACGCCTCAAAATTTTGTTTTACCCCCATCTGTGGTTCAATAAAAACAGTGGTGCCACTTTTTTCTAGAGATGGGACTATGTAAGTTCAATACATTTTTTTAATAGTTTTAATATGCTTCTTTAATTATTATCAACTAAAATATAAAAGAATAGTAAATGCCTTTCCACTTAAAATTAATTTAATATTTGTATTTGTATGATGTCCTTTTTAAAATTGTAGATGGCGCCACCTGCCCTATCTACGGCAACACTGCTCTTGTTTTTTTTTGTTTTTTATTTGTTTTTGGCATGGACACGGCGGATTCTCCCACAAAATCGCAGTCCGGCGAGGACGAGAACTACATCCTGCTGTGTCAGGCGCACGAGCAGTTCAACAAGTAAGTATTGTGCCCGGTTAGCACCGTCGATACCATTGATTTCCCTCCGATTTCCAGTGCGGAGTTCGATCGCTGCCTTGAGGTGCTCCAGGAACTTGAGACGAGGGGCGAGAGCAGTGGTCCAGTGCTGCGCCACAACCGGGCGGTGGTAAACTACCATAAGGGTGGCTGCACGCAGCACTCTGCTCTCCTAAAGGAATTGGAAGAGCTCACAGTCGACGCGGATGTCCCGGGAGAAACATCCAGCGGACTAACCCTGAAACATGGTGCCGCCGCCGCCACGGTGGCACGGTACAACAGGGCGGTCATCTACTATCACCGCCATATGTATGCGACGGCTCTGGAGAAGCTCGCACCTCTGGTCGCCAGATTGGAGGCTCTGGAAAAAGCCATGGCAGCTCTAGTGGCCACGCTTCAGCTGCAACTGCTGCTAGCCACCAATCAACTAAACCGGGCCGAGGCCTTCCTGGACTACTTGCAGTACAAGCTGAACCTCGTGGCCAGTGCGCCGAGCAGTAGTCCGCCCACGGAGGAAACCTCTCCTGGTTCCACTTCCCCGCCAAGCACTGTGGCTGCTTCGCCCGCAGGTGCCAGCGCCGGAACTGGAGCTAGTGGAAGCTCAGCAGTAGAAGGCAGTTCTTCCGTTCTGGGCGGCAGTCTACAGCTTTTACAGCTACTCACCCTGGTGCTAAACCGAAAACCGGTTGTAATCCCCGAAGATGGAACGCCCGAGTACGCGGCATTAAAGGCGCAGCAGTACTACATCATGAAGGACTTCCAAATGGCAGCGAAGCAGCTGATGCGCATCAACAATGAGTGCACACAGGCCGGGTGAGTGTTTAAAAATACAAATATTATGCCAGTTATAATGAGCTCCTTCCTCTGTAGAACTGTAACTCGGCAGCTAAGCACCTGTATTGCTAATAATATGGGGGTGATCCATTTAAGAGTGCGTCACTATGCCATAGCTGCCAAATTCTTCCAGAACGCGCTGAACTTTGATCAGAAGCTGGCACAAAATCTGCGCCAGAGTACGCTTCAAACCATGAGCTCAGCGCGCTCCTGTGAAATCCTCTACAATCTGGGCGTGGCCATGCTGCATTTGCGTCGACCCAAAGAGGCATTCCAGTGCTTTTTGGTGCCGGTGAAGCAGTTTCACAGTAATCCACGCCTATGGCTGCGAATGGCAGAAGCATGCATCATGGAACACGAGACAGTAAGTTCCGATTTCGTAAATAAACATTGAATTACTGATAATAATTTTCAATGTTTTCATAACAGAAATTAGTAGAAGAGGAGCGCAACTCACAGGCGGGAACTGCGGCCGGATCCTCTAGCAAGCCATACGAGTGAGTAGATATCAATTCTTCCAATTACCATCTGTAAATCTAAAACCTTTCTAGTCCCCAATCCGCTGGAGTCCCTGAGCCCACTTTAGAGTTTGCCGCCTTGTGCCTGCGGAGTGCTTTAACCCTCACTTTGCATTACAAAGCCAGTTTCCATATCACGGCAGACTCTGCAGAGGACGGGGAGGCACCCGAGCCCAAGGACCCCACTCAGGAATCGTGGCGGCAGCCGCAGGACAATAATTTTTGCAATCCCTCCAAACCTGTTAGTCTGGAGTCGTTGGAGAACATGTTAGCAGCCATCTATGCGGCACATAGCTTTGTGTCCCTTCGCCTGGGTGACCATGTGACTGCTCTGGAAATGTCCGATCAGTTACTGGCCTGCGAGCGTCTTTCCGATGCGCACAAGTAACTTCAATTAACTAAAAATTAATTGAGTATGCTAATAACGTTTTATTATTTGCAGATTACTGGGACACATGTATGCCGGCGAGGCATTAATGCTGATGGACAAGGCACCAGAGGCACGCTTCCATTTGGATCCCGCTTTTGTGTCCACTTTAAATGCATTCGACCTGGAGACTCGCGATTGGCAGCTGAAGTCGCTTGACGCCGCCCAGAATGTGGTGCGATACAATCTGGCTGTGGCCATGGCCCTGCAGAACGACCTGCCACAGGCGAAGTCACTCCTGGCCAGCCTGACGCACTCGTTGGTCAGCGGCAAGGCTATGGCTCTAAGGCGTTTTATTGACCTCAAGATGGGACCTATTCCAGGCACCGGAGTGGCTCCCAATTAGACAACAAATTGTGTAAATAACTAGGCGGAATCGAAGTACGAGAGAATGGAATGGAGTGTAAATATAGAGAAATCCCTGAGCGACGTAGTCATCGAAGTGTTTGTTGGTTCTTCAACGATTGCAGGATCGCTATTCAAAATTTGTTTCTTTGGCAATTTGTTTTTAAAATTTGATTTTATTTATTAAATAGGTCGGCATTAATGAAACACATGGGCAAACATTTATTTTTTATTTTTATGTTTAAAACTGGGGCTGTTTAAAAAGTTTTTAACATTAATTTCTGTTTTTGGTGCACCTTAAATAGATTATTTTAAGGTGAAAATGTTTGTTTTCGTAGAACTAATAAATTTCCCCGTGACTAAAATGCTGTAGTCATTAAATCAGTTAGTTCAAGAGTATATACCATTGCCGAGTGACCGAAAATAATAGCTTAGCCGGTAGAGCTGCAATTGGTGGTGATTATGGTAGCGGTTTTGGTTTATTTATTGGCTATAGGAAGTCTACACTTAGCCACGTCAGATACTGTAAGTTTAAAATCATTTCCCTATTCATAGTTTATATGATTCATAAGATTATCCCTGTAAGTTGGAGACAATTACTTCGCACAATTTTCCCGGGGAGAAGCATCAAGTGGTGACCACCGATGGCTACATCCTAACCCTGTTCCGCATCCCATATTCGCCGACTCTTCACAATGAAAAGCTTCCCAAGAAGGTTGTCTTTCTTCAGCACGGCATCTTGGGTTCTTCAGATTCCTGGTTGCTGACAGGTCCTCGATATGCTCTGCCCTATGTGCTCTCTAATTCTGGCTATGAGGTTTGGCTGGGCAATTCTCGGGGAAATCTTTACGGACGTAGACACAAGAAGTTGAGCCCGGAAAAGGAACAGTTCTGGCAGTTCACCTTCCACGAGCTGGGAGTCTACGACCTACCCGCCCAAATAGATTATGTGCTGAACATCACTCAACAGAAGGAACTCCAATTTGTGGCCCACTCTCTCGGAGGCACTGAGTTTTTAGTGATGCTCTCGGAGAACCCGCAGTACAACCGATTCTTCAGGTCCGTCCATTTGTTGGCTCCGTTGGTCTTCTGTACTCACCCAAAATCGAAGCTTTGGTCCATGGTTGCAAAGGCGGCTCCCTTGTTGACGGATGAAGAGTACTCGGCCGGTAGCTTGACATCCGGTGTTATGAATATGATTTGCAACATTGCGATTTCCTCCTTGTGCCAAAATATAATGTTGGTGCTTATTGGCGGAAAATCATCTTATATTACTGATGTAAGTTTTTTATGATAGAAGAATTCTTCATGCCTAAAGGTGTCCTTCTCAGAAAATCAAGCCCAGTATCGCCTCCGTGGAGTCCACGGGTGTTTCAACTCGTCTGATGAAGCACTTCGCCCAGCTGTATGAGTCGGGTCACTTTGCCAAGTATAGCTACGGAAAGGCGGAAAATATGAAAAAGTACGGTAGAGTCACTCCGCCGGATTACATCCTGAAGAATGTGATGCCGGCCGGACAGTTCTATGTGTACCAGAGCGGAACGGATGACCTGGTGAGCAATGAGGATTTGAACCATCTGACCACCGCAGGGCTCAACTTTATTGAGCGGCGTGTGTCAGTCGCTAAATGGAATCATCTGGACTATGTCTTTGCCAAGGAAGCTGAGAAACTAATTTACCGGCAAATCGTTACAAACATGGCAATGAGTCCTTCAAAAAGTCCTTGAATTCATGGCAAGAGTCGCTTTGCTTTGTTGAGCTTAACTAAGAGATATTGTGTTTGTTATAAATTCCGAAAGTGGTAAACTTAAAAGCATTGTTATACAAATTAAAAAATACTATATATTCTAGTCTAGGTACATATGTAGTATATTCGAGTCTGTAAAGGAAAACACCGTAGTAAATCCATTACAAATCCTGACTAGGCCATTTCTAATGGATTTGTCAAAGCTCAACTAAATTAAAGAAAATATTATATTCATAAATCCTATATGAATATATCATTGAAATTGTACATACATAACTATGGCTCGAAAATTCGTTAAAAAAATGTTAAGTAAGAAAGTTGGAGTCTGTAACTTTATTCTGATAATTTTCACTAATTTATTTGGACTATTTCACGCAGATACTGTAAGTTTTGGATTTTATTTAGAAATAATTTAAAATAATATTGTTCACCGCCAGGCAGAATTTATTGAACGTCATAAATATCCTGTAGAATTTCACAATGTGGTCACCGAGGATGGCTATATCCTGGGAGTATTTAGGATACCCAATTCTCCGCACAATACAGGGACTTTTAATGTGACTAGACCCGTGTTTCTTCTGCAGCATGGTATTCTAATGTCCTCTGACTGCTGGGTAATAACAGATCCTCGCCATGGATTGCCATTTTTACTAGCAGACGCGGGCTTTGATGTTTGGATGATAAACTCCAGGGGTAACAGGTATTCTCGCCGACATCAACACCTCGATCCGGATGGAACCCAGTTTTGGCAATTTAGCTTTCACGAAATGGGCAACCACGATCTTCCCGACACCATTGATTTTATCCTGAGACACACCAATCAGGCAGGGCTTCATTTCGTGGGTCATTCTCAAGGTGCCACTGCTTTCCTGGTGATGCTCTCATTGCGGCCGGAGTACGGCGAAAAGATTTTTTCTAGCCATCTCTTGGCACCGGTGGCATTTCAAAGGCATTCCTCCTCTTGGCTTGCAAGGAACTTATTGGAGAATGCCCTTCAACTTCCGGATATAGAAATTCCAGCCATTCATCCAAGCCTGCAAGAGGTTGTTCACTCAGTCTGTGCTATTTCTTGGATACGGGAAATATGCAAGTACATTCTGTTTTTCTTTGCGGGTGGAGAGTCTAAACACTTGGATGAAGTGAGTAAATAGAGTTATGGGAAGGTAGCTTTTAAGAATCATCCTCCCTCCGTAGATGCTGGTGCCCAGAATTATGTCCATTGTACTGGCCGGGATTTCGAGTAGACAAATACGCCACTTTGCTTCCAACATCAAGTACGATAGATTTGCTCTTTTGGACTTTGGAGACCAGGAAAACTTACGAATATATGGCAGCCTGCAACCTCCAGATTATCCTCTGGGAAGTATAAGGACCTTGAAGCCCATTAATTTGTACTTTGGAGGAAAGGACAAGTGGTTGGATGTTAAGGATTCAAGGAAGTTAATAAGAATACTACCCGAGTCGAATTTAAATGTGATGCCGACATGGAACCATGTTGATTTCATATTTGGCGATAAAGGAAACGCTTGTTTAAATGAATTAATAATTAGAAATACAAAAAAATCGATTTAAATATGATATTATTTTAAAAAATTGTAAAGGTTTAAAGATTCCAAACTCTTCCTTTTGCCAACGCCCAGTAAAGAAGCCGGTGGTTTTGTTTCTTCATGGGATGACTTGCTCGACAGACACTTACTTGCTGGATGGACACAATGATGGACTACTCTGTATGCTGTCTGACGTCTGGTATGACGTTCGTAAATGGAAAGCAATCCCATCACTTTAATACAGTAAGATGAAAGTTACTTGTTAGAAGTCCTCAGCCGAAATCCTCAGCCTTTTCTCTTCACAGAGTATGTATCCCTTGCTGTTGGCCACTCATCCGGTGGGTATTTCCACCCGCCAACCCGAAAACAACATCCACTTCACGGATTCCGGAAAGTTTCGCCAATATGACTACGGTCTAATGGAAATCGCCTCCGGACTACAAGCTAAATGTTATCCGCCAGCTGTCCCAGTATACATATTTTTTACAGCGACCAATGCCACGGACATCTGGATTTTGGCCAGTAAATGGTGCACGTGGTGGTGATGCACGTGGGACCACATGGACTTTGTACATGCTTTGACGGTTTCCAAAGATATCAATAAGCCAATTATTCAAATATTTGATAAATTCGAAAAAATAACCCCAGCAGATGATGAGTAATTGTAAATATTGAATTTTATTCTGAAAAGGGGTTCTCGATAATATTGTATATTTGACTTTAAATGGAATTTTTTGAAAGGTAGGGGATATAAAATTTAGGGTAAAATTGAACTATAATTGAAATGGAATGCTTTAATCTAATTATTCAGTTTGGTATCGTATTTAAGTTGCATCATTAAAAAATCAAGGCACAGTTGGCTTAAATGGAGTGGATAAAATTTGTTATTTTATGGAGCTGCCTTGTCGGCATTCATTTAGCAGAATATCACAAAACGATTTTTAAAACTCCCAAGGATATTGTAAATTCGCCTTTATGGAATTGTCCTTCAAAAGAACTAACCACTGTAATCTATATTGGGAAAAATTCTTGTATATGTCATTTTTATTTAAGTTTTCTCACAGGTGGATATCATCAAGTCTTACCACTATCCAATAGAAAACCATACGGTGCGCACCAAGGATGGTTATATGCTTGAGGTGTTTCGCATTCCCGACTCCCACGAGTGTCATGAAAGGAAAGCCAAGAAAGTGGTCTTTTTAATGCACGGAATGTATTCATCGTCGGACGCTTTTCTGCTGTCTGCGAAAAATATCGGTCTCCCCTATATGTTGGCCGACAAATGTTACGACGTATGGATGGGGAACGCCCGCGGCAACCGATATTCTCAGCGCCACCCCCACCTGGGCATTAACGATACTGAGTACTGGCACTTCAGCTGGCCCGAGATCGGACTGGAGGATTTGGCAGCCTCCTTCGAATACATTACGTTTCTGACCAAACAAAATGATCTAAACTGCGTATGTCACGGCCAAGGATGCGCGGCATTGATGGTTCTCCTCAGTCTTCGGAAAGAGTACAATTTTATTGTTCATAACGCTGTTTTTCTCGCTCCGATGGTTTACATGACCCACTTTAAAGCTTCCGTGCCGTGGAGGGACTTTTTTAAGCTCCTGGAACACTCGATGGATGGCGAGGCTAGGCCTTCCCTCTTGCCGGACCATACTGTGCTTAAGGATGTGGCCAAACGCATGTGTCCAAAAATGACATGTGAATGCAATTACAATCTCATATATGGAAATGCAAATCACCAACGTGATCCGGTGAGCTCTTATGATTTATAAAAATTTCTGGATATATAAAGAATCTTTTATTTATTTTAAGCTCGTCATTACCCGATTTTTGGCTACGCATCCTTCCTCAATTTCTGTGCGTCAGCTAAGGCACCTCTTTCAGGTTAAAAGCTCTGGTAAATTCCAACAATACGACTATGGAGTTGAGAAGAACATTATCATGTACAATCAATCCACTCCGCCGGAATATAATCTTGAGAAGGTCCGGCCCCATGGTAGCCTACACATCTTCTACAGTGACGGCGATTGGTGGGTCTCTAAAAAAGACATTGCCATACTTAAGGGAAAGTTGTCCAAGGCTATGTTTCACCACATCGAGGATTCAAAATTTGGCCACGGAGATTTTCTTCATGGGCACAATGATCGAACCTTGATTAATATACCAATTTTAGAAATATTTCGCAGAAACTCGAAAGATAAAAGTGATAAACATGTTAAACATTTTAAGCATCATTAACAAAATGGATATATTAAACATAAAAATATTAAAATTCCAAATCCAACCATAGTAACTTAATATTTTTTTTTTTATTTATTTGAGCTTATTCTAGATTCTAGACTAAAGGAATTCAATTCCAGATCGGAATCAAATTGGATGAGAATTGAGGAAGATATAGCCATCACTGTGGGCCCTATAGGGAAAACACCATTTTCAAGGGATCCCGTCACGAGAAATGGACAAAAAATCTAAAAAATATTTTGTCTCAGGATTTTGATGTAGAATAATGGGAAATCGATCTAGAAATCGTTTAAGGTACTCCGCTTGGGAATCGGATGAGAATTGAGGAAGATATAGCCATCCCTGTGGGCCCTATAGGGAAAAACCCATTTTCAAGGGATCCCGTCACGAGAAATGAACAAAAAATCTAAAAAATATTTTGTCTCAGGATTTTGATGTAGAATGATGGGAAATCGATCTAGAGATCGTTTAAGGTACTCCGCTTGGGAATCGGATGAGAATTGAGGAAGATATAGCCATCCCTGTGGGCCCTATAGGGAAAAACCCATTTTCAAGGGATCCCGTCACGAGAAATGGACAAAAAATCTAAAAAATATTTTGTCTCAGGATTTTGATGTAGAATGAGAGATCGTCTTAAATGTCGATCTAAAGATCGTTTAAGGTACTCCGCTTGGGAATCGGATGAGAATTGAGGAAGATATAGCCATCACTGTGGGCCCTATAGGGAAAACACCATTTTCAAGGGATCCCGTCACGAGAAATGAACAAAAAATCTAAAAAATATTTTGTCTCAGGATTTTGATGTAGAATGATGGGAAATCGATCTAGAGATCGTTTAAGGTACTCCGCTTGGGAATCGGATGAGAATTGAGGAAGATATAGCCATCCCTGTGGGCCCTATAGGGAAAAACCCATTTTCAAGGGATCCCGTCACGAGAAATGGACAAAAAATCTAAAAAATATTTTGTCTCAGGATTTTGATGTAGAATGAGAGATCGTCTTAAATGTCGATCTAAAGATCGTTTAAGGTACTCCGCTTGGGAATCGGATGAGAATTGAGGAAGATATAGCCATCACTGTGGGCCCTATAGGGAAAACACCATTTTCAAGGGATCCCGTCACGAGAAATGGACAAAAAATCTAAAAAATATTTTGTCTCAGGATTTTGATGTAGAATAATGGGAAATCGATCTAGAAATCGTTTAAGGTACTCCGCTTGGGAATCGGATGAGAATTGAGGAAGATATAGCCATCACTGTGGGCCCTATAGGGAAAACACCATTTTCAAGGGATCCCGTCACGAGAAATGGACAAAAAATCTAAAAAATATTTTGTCTCAGGATTTTGATGTAGAATGATGGGAAATCGATCTAGAGATCGTTTAAGGTACTCCGCTTGGGAATCGGATGAGAATTGAGGAAGATATAGCCATCCCTGTGGGCCCTATAGGGAAAAACCCATTTTCAAGGGATCCCGTCACGAGAAATGGACAAAAAATCTAAAAAATATTTTGTCTCAGGATTTTGATGTAGAATGAGAGATCGTCTTAAATGTCGATCTAGAGATCGTTTAAGGTACTCCGCTTGGGAATCGGATGAGAATTGAGGAAGATATAGCCATCACTGTGGGCCCTATAGGGAAAACACCATTTTCAAGGGATCCCGTCACGAGAAATGGACAAAAAATCTAAAAAATATTTTGTCTCAGGATTTTGATGTAGAATAATGGGAAATCGATCTAGAGATCGTTTAAGGTACTCCGCTTGGGAATCGGATGAGAATTGAGGAAGATATAGCCATCACTGTGGGCCATTTAGGGAAAACACCATTTTCAAGGGATCCCATCACGAGAAATGGACAAAAAATCTAAAAAATATTTTGTCTCAGGATTTTGATGTAGAATGATGGGAAATCGATCTAGAAATCGTTTAAGGTACTCCGCTTGGGAATCGGATGAGAATTGAGGAAGATATAGTCATCCCTGTGGGCCCTATAGGGAAAAACCCATTTTCAAGGGATCCCGTCACGAGAAATGGACAAAAATCTAAAAAATATTTTGTCTCAGGATTTTGATGTAGAATAATGGGAAATCGATCTAGAAATCGTTTAAGGTACTCCGCTTGGGAATCGGATGAGAATTGAGGAAGATATAGCCATCACTGTGGGCCATCTCAGGATTTTGATGTAGAATGATGGGAAATCGATCTAGAAATCGTTTAAGGTACTCCGCTTGGGAATCGGATGAGAATTGAGGAAGATATAGTCATCCCTGTGGGCCCTATAGGGAAAAACCCATTTTCAAGGGATCCCGTCACGAGAAATGGACAAAAAATCTAAAAAATATTTTGTCTCAGGATTTTGATGTAGAATAATGGGAAATCGATCTAGAAATCGTTTAAGGTACTCCGCTTGGGAATCGGATGAGAATTGAGGAAGATATAGCCATCACTGTGGGCCATTTAGGGAAAAACCCATTTTCAAGGGATCCCGTCACGAAAAATGGACAAAAAATCTAAAAAATATTTTGTCTCAGGATTTTGATGTAGAATGATGGTAAATCGATCTAGAAATCGTTTAAGGTACTCCGCTCGGGAATCGGATGAGAATTGAGGAAGATATAGTCATCCCTGTGGGCCCTATAGGGAAAAACCCATTTTCAAGGGATCCCGTCACGAAAAATGGACAAAAAATCTAAAAAATATTTTGTCTAAAGATTTTGATGTAGAATGATGGGAAATCGATCTAGAAATCGTTTAAGGTACTCCGCTCGGGAATCGGATGAGAATTGAGGAAGATATAGCCATCCCTGTGGGCCCTATAGGGAAAAACCCATTTTCAAGGGATCCCATCACGAAAAATGGACAAAAAGTCTAAAGCTATGGTCATCGGAAGGTTATGGGGCAACCCCTTGGAAAAAATGTCGACAAGTTTCAAAACGATATTTAAGAAATGTTTTGGGTGAGGAAAGGCGCTTCTGGGTTTGCTGATGTTCGTTTTTTTCCACATCGGATACCAATTGGCAGAGCTATGAACATCGGGAAGAAGTTTTGAAAAAATTGAGAAAACCTAAAATTTGATGGGTCACCCCTTGGAACAAATTATACAAATTTAAAAAAAAAGGAATAATTAAAATGAAGTTTCCTTTTATTACCATCCCAAAAATTGGAATAATTTGTTGAACATCGAGTTTTTTTATTAGAGGCTTAACAGGTTTTTAAAGTGTAATGTTTTCTGAAATTTGGCAGTTTCGATAAACAATAGACTTGTTTTTCGTAGTCTAATCTATAAATTAATTATTTATTAATCAGTACGTGTATCTGTAGTTGATGTAACCGTATCAACTGCAGACTAGTTTCGTAAATCTAGAATTTGTTTTTGGCACTAGTGATAGTTCTGGCTGCGACATTTCTTTCCTAAAAATGTAAATATCCACACCCGCCCGAGTTCCTTAGCGTCTCCGCTGCTCGTAGCGATTCATGGAAAGAACGATGTTGTCGAAGATGTACTCTCGGACTCCCAGACCGCAGATGAAATCGAAATGATTCCAGCGCTTCCACGGCACCTTATACACCGCCTCCACATTGGGCAGGCGGGTGAGAAGCCTCCAAATATCAGCTGGAGCCACGATGTAATCGTTTTCCGAGAAGAAAACGGTCACCGGGGTGGACACATTTTCCAGGACGTACTCCGGCGGCTCCAGCTGCTGGTAGTGCAGCCAGTTGCGCTCTGGACCGTAGTCGTATTGCCGAAATCGAGTGGACACATAGCCCTGGAAGTAGTGCATCAACTGCTTTACCGATCCCCCGGCCGGAAAGTTTGCCATCAGATCCGGTAGTAGGGTCTTGTTCAGGAAGCGAGTGTCGTAGCCTGCCGCCGGCCACAAGCGACTGATGCACACCATCGGCTTCTCGTTTTCCAGGCACGTCATCGACAGAAACTTCTTAAAGAACTTGTTCGTGGAGAACATCTCCACGCCTTCGAGCATCTTGGAGACGTAGTTCCGAGTGCCCAGTACCGGGCCAATGATCTTGGCCAGGCCACTCTTCGTGTTGCTCACATAAGCCACCGGTGCCAGGAGGGTGGCGCTCTTAAAAACGGCATTGTACTGCGGCAGCATCGAGTTCAGGACGAGGAAAACGGTGCCTCCCTGCGAGATCCCCACAAAGTGCATCGCCCGCTGGCCTGTGGTTCGCAGGACATAGTCCACCTGGGCGGGAAGATCGTAGACGCCCATCTCGTGCCAGCTGAAGTCCCAGAACTCTCGTTCGGTAGCATTATGCCATACGTTTTTGCGGCAATAGATGTTGCCCCTGTTGTTTCCCAGCCAGACATCATAGCCGGCGCGCCAAAGGAGGTAGGCCAGGGAGTCCTCGCGTCCATTAAGCAGCCACCTGAAACACGAATAATATTTTTAATTAGGTGTTTCCTTCATGAACTTTTTAATTATTAAATAAGTTACATTTTTAGGCAAGAAGCTAAACTTTAAAAATGTTACTTCCAACTATATTGTTTCATTTTAAAACTATAGGAGGTATGCACTTTAGATAAGAACATATAATTTTTTGATCTAAGTTTCTGCTTGACTCTCTGTCCCTTTACAAGTTTTAAAACTGACAAATGAACATCACAACTACAGAATGGACAATCACTTTTTAAACACTTGGTATTTGCCGCAAGCGGAAGTATCTATTAGCATATAGAATTATTATCTTTAGGGGAACTACGCACACATCCGACGAAGCATATAGTCCCGAGAGCATGAACACCAAGGGGCGCCGCAAGACACTTCCCCTCTCCGGATCTACTTGGGGGATGCGATGCATGGTGAGGACATATCCGTCCTTGGTTGTCACCGTGTGGCGCTCCACATTGTAGCCGTCGTTCTGGATGCGTCGCACCTGCAATTACAGCAAACATGTCTCAAAAACAGTGGCAGGAAACAGGTAGGAATCCCGAGTCCGAAGCTGAAATCGAAATGCAAACACAGATTGTTGGCAC